TATTTAAAAATAATCTTAGCCTTATTATTATTATTAAATATAAGCTAACGAGCCTAAGTAATTAAAAAAATAATATAAGTATTATGCGAGGTAAGTATAAAAAAGTAAGTTAATAAAGTAATAACTACGTATAATAGGCTTAATATAGGGGGTAATTTAAATATATTACTAAATTTAGATATATAAGTATAGTACGAAATTATTTAATAATAGGCTAGGCTATATAAATTAATTTTTATTAATAAGCGCTCTTATATAATTATAAGAGATCGTAACTAGTTATTTAAAGTATTAATTATAGTAATTAAACCGTATTATATAAATCCTAATAAAGTAATTTTTAACTTATAAAAAGAAAAAGAGCTAGGGAAAACTATATAACCCGTAATAAAAGTATAAGAAATTATTTTTAATAAAATCGTCGTAATAATATTAATAAATAATAAAGAAAAAGAAATTATTAAAAAAATACTAATATTATTAATAAAACGTTACGAAAGACTACGATAGTAAGCCCTAATATAATAATTTATTATTAATAACAAGGTAATTAATACTTTTTATATAATAAAACAAAAGCCGATTTTAAGTTAGTAATTAAATTACGTAAAAAAAGCGTAATTATAACTATTAAAAAGCTATATAAGGGATTAGATCTTATTAAAATAGATACTCTTTATAATCGAGGGGTTTATTAATTTATCCTTTATAACTTAGAGAAGTATATAAATTTCTATATATTTAAATTACGAATAGTTCGTAAAATTAAAAAAAAAGGAATACCCTAGTTATATAAAAAATCTAAATACGTAATTTAGGGGTATAGTAATATTAAAAAAGCGACGCTACTTATATAATTATTTATTATATAGCGCTATAGTTAATAATTAATAATAATACTAATAGTATTATTATAAAAAAAGGAATATAAGATTTAGAGCTATAATATTACCTAAGCCTATATTTAATTAGCTATAGGGCTTATAAAGAAAATCCTAGCTTATTTACTAAAAGAAATAGCTAATAAGTACCTAAAAAGTATAATTATTAAAGTACTTAAGCTACTATATAAGCTTATAGAATCGGGTACTTATTAATAAGCTACTTATTATAATTTTTATATTAATTAACTATTAATAATTATTTTTATATATAACCTATATTTATTAATTTCGGAGTATAAAAGTGACTAATTTAAAATCGTTAAAATATAGATTAATAATATATTAGGCCTATTTAATATTAATTTTATAAAAAAGGAGGATAAGGAGCTTTAAAAAGCGGGCTTCGTAGCGAAGCTAAAAGAGGTCTTTATAATAAATACTTTTTTAGTATTTAATAATAGGATTTTTATAATTAAAAAGGAAACTATTATTTTTTAATAAAAGAGATAGGGTAAGAAAATTAACCTCGTTAATTTAAATATAACTAATATTAAAAAGCGGTATAAAACTAAGCTTATATAAGAGGTATATATTATAAGTATTTATTAACTTAAAACGACTTTTAATTATATTAAAATAATATAAACTATAGATTTAACTAAACGAGATATTAAAATACTTAATAAGCGGCTTAAATAGTAATAAATAAATCTTAATCGAGGCCTTATTTATTACTTAATTAACTTTATAATTAGTAAGCTTTATATCTTTATTAATAGGTTATTTATAAATAATAACGACCTTATTTCGTAATTAAAGTATATTATTATCCTAGTTAATAAGAGTATAAGTAAGAATAAATTTACTATATATAGTAATATAATTTATTACTTATTAATTAAAAATAAATAAGTAACAAGAAGTATATTAGTATTAAAGGTTTATAATATAGTTAACAGTATTAACTTCTCTTATATAATTTTAATAATACTAAGGAAAATTATTAATTAACTTAGCTTTTTATTTATTTTAATAGTTATTTATACCGATTTATATTCGTTATATAAATACCTCGTTAAATTAAGAATAATAAAAAAAAAGAGGCTTATAATTAATATTATAGCCCTTAGGTAATTATATAAAAGGCGCGAGATACTCGAGATTTATTAAATTAATAATAAAAATAACCTCGTAAATATTTTTATAAAAATAATACTAAATAAGAGGTTAAAGTAATTTATAAGTAATAAAAAAGTTATTATATAAATAAAGGGATATGTTATATAAAAAGAATAAAAAAAAGGGGGAAAAGGAAATAGCTTAATAAACGGGCCCGAGGTTAAATTATATTTCTAATTATAATAATTAAATTAATAAAAAAAAAAAAGTTAGTATCGGATTAGAAATTTAATTTAATTACGGTATATAGCTAACTATATAGGGGCTAATTAGGGGCCCTATTTATAATTATTATAGCTAGTTTAATTTATAATTAGAACCTCCTTTTTATACTTACTACGTAAATATTTATATAATTTAATTAATCTCTTTATTAACTACGGTTCGAACTAACTACCCTGTAATAGGGATACTAATAATGTATGAATTGTGCTATGAGCTATTAGGAAGCCGAATTGAACAACGCAAGAGTTGCCTCCGTGTCGTCTTTTGGTCATCCTACCCTCTGCCGTTGTTAATGTATTTCTCCCCGAACAGGAATGTGACATCTTGCTCACGAATAGTCAGAATGCAGTAAGCTGAACAGCCACATGACACTCATTGGCTTGGCCGTCAACTTAGCTTTAGTTAAAGGGCGTCTAGGTCTGGTGTCAGGCTCTCTTACCTACATGTCGACGACGTGCGCGGGCTTGTGAAATGCTCAAATATCTTCTTTCGTCCTCGATAGTGCGTCTGCTTCATCTTCGAAACTGAGCTACGCTTATGATCTGTTCTACTACTATTACTATGGGGATTTTGGATTCGGAAATTTGAATGTGACAGTGTGAGCAAGGCACATATTTACCACTGAACTACTGCTGATAGTCAACCTCTTGCATCCATGTAAGTGTTTTAGACTTGTGTATCTCATGCTGTAAAATTACCCCCACAGCGAAGTTGTCTTTGACATAAGACGTAAGGTAGTTCTTGTCAGGAGACATTATGTACGAGCCTCAGAGCCTCGGGTCTCACCATCTATTCACCCATTTACTTCTGCCCTTCGCACCTTCAAGATCCGATTGATTGTTATGCGAACATGTAACCGGTATGTTCGGACTGGGATACCAGACCCAACGGTTCGCGTTGTTATGTCTGGCCGCTGATTAAGTACTTTGTCGACTTCGGCACGATTAAACTGTATAACGCGGATTTCAGAAATGTTTGCATATTCAGCTTCTGAACGATATCTGAACTGGATCTCACTTTCTTCTTTCAATCGGGACCTCCTTCTTCCGCTCCTTTTATTGATGATGACGGTGGATGGTCTCTCCAAACGCTGTCACTGCCGCATTCTACATCCAGACTGCAGGTTAATCTGCAGGTTGATAACGAGTAATGAACAAAATGGACTGCCGTAGCTTTTCGACTCGCTGGGAATAATACCGAAAGACCGCCGAACAACGGTACCAGATTTGCGCCACAGTTATCAGCGCGAATCTCATGTAGCAAGTCCAGGCTGGCAGGTCGCAGGGAGGGATCACATCACACCGGCTCTGGAGGACGAGTAAAGTGCCCTGGTCTGATCGAAGTGGTGGAAGATGAGGAGTCGATCTACTTGGATTTAGATCTGCCGAAAAAGGCCAACGGGCGGAGGCTGCTCAGAGATCGAAATGCGCGCGTCTGATATTCGGTTTTATCCACAAATTCAAATCACGGCAAGAACCAACCACAAGTAAGCCGTCCTGGCTTTGCTTTCGATTTCATCAACGTGCGAATCTCATTGATTGATGATTGAGGTAATTGGAAAGTAGCCAAATTCTGTAGAGTTTTCGAAAGCAACTGCGTAGCGAGTCATGACGTGCAGTACCATCCTGAGGAGAACAAAACTGTCGCAATCCATCAAGCAATCAGAAGTTATGATAAGTTATTGCAATGAGAGTCACACAGGTTTGGAGGCAGCGGGGAATAAGCTCCTGATCAAGTGCCCAAGGTTTTAGTAATGCAGTGCTAACTCCAAAGTTTATTGTTAAGCTTATTTGTTGACTAGGGTGACGAGGTCAAGCTTGTCAGCCCCATAGGGAAGCAAGCGCGTGACCCGGCCCTGTGCCATCGATCGGGTGCTGACGAATGCTAGTTTCTGTTGAAGAAGGCTATGTAAGAAGGCATTTATGGAAGTATTGAATGTGTGATGATTTTGGAGACTTTTCAGGACGCCATGTGGCTGACTCTGCAGCTTAGTATTGAGCAAGGTACATCTAGATCAACATTCTATGCATAATGCAGGACGGCCCGGAAAACTGGCACTGGGGACAAGTGTAGATGGAGAACTTCTACGGACTCTCTTGCCTAACATTGCAGCCAGCCACGGTACTGGCTAGACCCTATCCCTTCTTCTAAAGCCGTGCAGTTACTGCCCAAATGAACGTGTCATTCCAAGAGTCTCGATGTCTCTAGTAAGACAAGACTATCGAAATTGAGACTCTTGAGAAGGTACTTAACTTGGGTTGTTGAACTCCTAGATGTGGTCACTAATGGGGCAAATCTACCTATTATCAAGTTGAATATGCTTTTTCCAGAGTTAGACTTCAACACATAGAGTCTTATAAAGGAGAGTCCGCAACTGATGAACTTTTCCTAGTTCTCCAGTCTAACCCCCCAACGAGGCACGACCATGACGATATTTCAGCCATAAGTAGGCCTGAAAAGTCATTATCGCGTTATCTTCCCCTGTTGTTTGCAAATGGTAAACTCCCCGACGCTCAGATACTCTGCCATTCATCACGTCTGACAGAGCCGGCTTGCCGATCAAAAGCTCGTTTAATGTCTTGGCAACAAGCTGGAATGAACCCCAAGAGAGCAGGTGCAGCACGTTAAGGCCGACCGTCCAAGACATCAGCTTCCAAAAGTCCCCATTATCCCCAACCCCGCAAGCCACGCGAAGCAGCGTTGTCGTGCGCCGTGGCCACATCCCGGACGGAAGCCGAGAAGGCGGACAAGATTACGGAAGAAACTTTAGGCCCAAGAACCGTGTTACTGAACCACCAAACGAGAACCCTGGCATCGGCAGAAGAGCAAGATGGGCAGGTCCTTTATCCAACTGACGCGGTGCTGAGCAACAGTTGGTCCCAACCCGCCACCCCGCGATATGAAAAAGTCTTGGCACCTGCCCTTTGGGGTTACATCGCGGCGTGCGAATATTCGAGCCAAGATGTTGTGACCCGCGTCTTGGCCCTCGGGTGCAGCAGCATCGAAAGTGCTTCTTCTATGCCTCTCGCCTTCTTTTCCAACGGCAAACTACTTGCGGTAACACTCACCCGTTATTGCATGACCAAGGCTAGCAGAACAATCAGGCTAGGCGAGCCCGGCTTTGCTGACAGAACTTGCTGGGCTCGAGTTCTGCTTATCAGTTGCATCAATTGGGCCCGCTGATTCGATATGCCTTCATGTTCCCCGCCCCAGAACCCATGCAATCGGCAAGGTCCAAATGCATGCCAAGCTTAACCAGAAGCTTGAGCTCTGACTCTAGGCAAGACCTCGCAATGTCGCCGCGCAGCGCGCCATTCGACATGAAAAGCCAGGGTGAAAAAGCAACTCAACATGCGGTGTTTGCATGCTATGATCATTATAAAGAAGCGGGCAATGCCCCTGAGCGCGTCTCTGAGATTCTGAGAGCTCAACCCGCCCTGTTCTTCTCGCGGTCTCTTTCCTGGTCTCGCTGAGTGCATCACCAGATCATCCGCCAAGATGAAGACCACCTACCTCTCCGCAGCCGCTCTGGCGCTGGCCACATCCACCTTGGCCACCGATCCCCTCACTCCTGACAAGATTGAGGCTGACATCAAGACCGTTGAGTGAGTCAATTCCATGCTACCACGATCTCCTGTGATGTGCAGCTCTGGCTGACCAAGGCTTAAACAGGCTTGAGCGTGTTCTCTGGAACCTGAACAAGATCGCTCGCGACAATGGCGGCACCCGCGCCTTTGGCACACCGGGCTACAAGGCCTCAGTCGACTTCGTCCTGGAGCGCGCCCAGACTCGCTTCGCCAAGCAGATGGATACCTACCTCCAGCCCTTCAACCACACCTTTGAGCAGACCAACGCCATCTCCGTGACCGGACCCGACGGCGATGTCATTGTCATCAGTGCCGAGTACAACACCGCCACTCCCCTGCCGGGTGGTATCACGGCTCCTCTCATCGATACCCCCGTCGACGACGTGAATGGTTCCGGATGTCTCCCAGAGGCCTTCACGGGCATCGATGCCACCGGCAAGCTTGCCTTGATCAAGCGCGGCGTATGCGCCGTCTCTGACAAGATCAAGAACGCGAAGGCTGCTGGTGCCCTCGGTGTGATCCTGTACAACCAGGTCCCTGGTGACGATATCACCAAGCCCACTCTCAGTGCTGAGAACATTGGTCTCCTCGTCCCCCTGGGTATCATCACCCTCGAGACTGGAGAGGCGTGGAAGGCCCTTCTCACCGCCGGCGAGGAGGTGATCGTCACCCTCATCGTGGATGCCATCTTCGAGGAGCGTGAGACCTGGAACGTCATCTCCGAGACTAAGGAGGGTGACCCGAACAAGGTCATCATGCTCGGCGCCCATCTCGACAGTGTTCTTGAGGGTCCCGGCATCAACGACGATGGTTCTGGCACTGCCGCCCTCCTTGAGCTGATGGGCTCCGTCAAAAAGTACAGCGGCTTCCCCCACAAGATCCGTTTTGCCTGGTGGGCCGCTGAGGAGGCCGGCCTGGTTGGATCCTACTACTACACCGAGCACCTCAGCTCCGAGGATGCCGACAAGATCAAGTACTACTTCAACTACGACATGATCGGCTCCCCCAACCCCATCTACGAGCTCGCCTCCTACAACAACAGCGGTATTGGTCCTCAGCTTATCGCCGACTACCTCGAGGCCAACGGCAAGGAGACCATCTCCGCCGAGTTTGACGGCCGCTCTGACTACGCCGGCTTCGTCGAGCTTGGCATCCCGGTCGCGTCCATCTTCACTGGTGAGGGCGAGAATGATCCTTGCTACCACCAGGCCTGCGACACGATTGACAACATCAACTGGGATGCCATCACCGTCAACACCAAGGCTGCTGGTCGCGCTCTTGCTACCCTTGCCAACTCTCTTGAGGGTGTCCCCCCTCGCGCCAACACTACCCCGATCCTTCGGGGCCGCGCTGGTGTTCTCCAGCAGATGCGTCGCTGGAAGGCTCTGGCTGAGCACACCAGCCACGGCAAGACATGCTCTCACAACGATGAGAAGAAGATCTACTAAGTGCTGTTGAGCCAATGGTGAACAAACCGCCTAACAGATGTAGCAGCGTCGCGGTCACGGTGGATGTAGATGTAGCCAACAATTTGGTTGAGTTAGCTTATGAGTAATGAAGATAATGTCTACTGAGCCCTAACCTCACCTTTTGAAAAACAATTGAACTGCTCATTGAGACTCCTTGCATTCAACACATGTGTATTCCGTGTCCGAAAATGAGGGAATCACGGAAAACACGGGCACCGGAGATGTGGAGCCGACCGGCACCGGAGCACAGGAAAGCTCGGCGTCGCCCACCGTGGATTAGCGCCTCGGCAACTGGAAATTACAACTGGAAGCACGACCCACGCCGCAAATTTCTGCTGATTGGTGCTGTGCTGCCCCAACAGAAAGGGGTATCCCCATTACGCGTGTTGTGTTTGCTCTTCTCATGCCACCGCGTCACGTCAAGTGGAAGCCGGCGTTTCACTCTCTATTCTGAAGCCAGCTGAGATATCTATCTCTTAAGTACGGGTCAACACTGATAAAATTCATCGTGCTGAGTCAGGGACAATTCTAAACAACCATGGCTCCAAAGAAGCACAACTATGAGTTTGGAGGCCCGTAAGTTCCGCGTTCTACAGCCGCTTCTCATACCCAATCGCTGACTTTTTGATGTTCACCCAGTCCCGGCGCCTTTGCCATCGTCTTTGGACTTCCAGTCCTCTTGTGGACCTTCTTCTTCGTCTGCAATGACAAGACCGGATGTCCCGCACCATCCACTTTAAGCCCTCGCACGTTGACCTTGGAGAAGCTCAAGCTCGAGACGCCATGGCCCGCAGATGGAATCTGGGGCTTCTGTAGCTGGGAAGCTTTCGGCTGGAGCATCGCCTATTACTTTGTGAGCTTGGTCTTGTACCGCGTTCTCCCTGCTCAAGAGATGCTCGGTACCAAGTTGGTTCAATCTGGTCGCCCATTGAAGTATCGCTTCAACTGTAAGGTTTCTCAATTCAAACATTCAATGGATCCATCTAACCCAGGAACAGCTTTCAACGCCACAGTCTTCCAGCTCGCCGGCCTGGCTATCGGCACCTACCTCCAAGGCGCAGACTTCGTCGTCTGGACCTACATCTCAGACAACTATCTCCAGCTCCTGACCGCCAACACCATCCTCGCCTACATCATCACCGTCTACGTCTACGTCGCTAGCTTCAGCGTGAAACCCGGCAACCCAGAGCTACGTGAGCTGGCCGTCGGCGGCAACACCGGCAGCCTCATCTACGACATCTACATCGGCCGTGAACTCAACCCCCGCATCACCCTGCCCTTCTTCGGCGAGATCGACCTCAAAGCCTGGCTGGAGATGCGCCCCGGCCTAACTGGCTGGGTCATTCTCAACCTTGCCTTCTGCGCAAAGCAGTACCGCACATACGGCCACCTCTCCGACAGCATCATTCTCACCACCGCCGTGCAGGGCTACTATGTTCTCGAGGGCCAGTTCATGGAGGCCGGCTTGCTCACCATGATGGATATCACCACCGATGGCCTGGGCTTCATGCTGACGTTCGGTGACATCGTCTGGGTGCCCTTTCTCTACTCCACCCAGACCCGCTACCTCTCCGTCTACCCCGTCCACCTCGGCTGGGCTGGCGTCGCCAGCATCTTTGCCGTCTTCGCGACTGGCCTGTATATCTTCCGCTCTGCGAATAACCAGAAGAAGGTCTTCCGCACGCAGCCTGATCACCCGAGCGTCAAAGATTTGCCCTTCATCCAGACGAAACGCGGTACTAGACTGCTTACTGGTGGATGGTGGGGCAGATCCCGACATATCAACTATTTTGGCGACTGGCTTCAGGCTTCGCCGTTCAGCTTGCCGACTGCCGTTTCTGGTTACCAGATCCTCACTGCTGGCAGCGCTGTGTCTGGTGCTATTACAATGCTTGACGGTCGTGAGGTCGTTCAGGGCGCTGCTCGTGGCTGGGGCATGATCTTTACGTACTTTTACGTGCTGTACTTTGCCATCCTGCTTATTCATCGCGAAGGGCGGGACGATGTTGCTTGCTCGGACAAGTATGGCGAGGACTGGGAGAAGTATAAGAAGGTAGTTAGATGGAAGATTTTGCCGGGTGTTTACTAGGGGAGTCAAGAGTATCTGCCATCATCAAGTTCGTCAACCAATATGGATGTCACCCATCAAGTTGGAGCTGAACTTGGCTTATGTAGCACCGTATTTGAGTAGCATAGCCTCGATTCGGCCCGAGATCTCCTCGATGTTTTCCAGGCGGTCGTTGACGAATCCCTTGAAAATTCCTCCACAGTCGAGTAAAGCCTTTAGACATGGCTTTTGGGTCTTATATCGACATATTTGGAGTGGGGTCATACCACTGAGATAATCGCACGCACGTAATATAGTATGCTCTGGCCGATTCATTGCAGCTGGATTCCCTCTAGCGTCTGGATTCGCTCCGCCCTCGAGCAGAATTTCCACTCCGTCCTGATCCAAACAAGCGACGGCGACTTGCAGTGGCGTGACTACAAAGTCTGGTGCATCTGTTTCCGCACCCAGATCTAGCAGTTCCTCAAGTCTGCACATCTCAATGCAGGCTGGAAGCGCGGATAAGGGGTATTCTCTATACTCCTCATGGCCATGTAAAGCAACGAAGTCCAGGAGAAGACAGCGAAAGTCGATAGCTTCGTGCCAGTTCGTTAAGAGGTGGTGCAATGCTTCACCCATGAAGCTTTCCGAACCAGTGGCCGCAAGAAAACTCATAAGAGGAAGATGGAAATTTTGTATCGACTCCTCAAAATCAAATCGGTAACCCATGTGTACTATAGTCTGCAAGAGATTCCCTGCACAACCCTCTTTGCGTAGCATGGAGTCCGCTAGCTTGAAAGCTTGCAGGTACAAGAAGCCGATCAAAATGCGAACCTCAGGCTGCGGTGGTGCATAGAATACTATATCCGAGTGCCAACCAAGGAATATCTCCACGACTGGTTCCCCGTCTTCTATGAGTTCCATATTATGAATCGTGTCAAAAGGATGTGTTCTTGAGTGGTGTGAAGTCGTAAGCATGATAGCAAGTTCCTCATTCTGTAGGAGAACGTCTTCACAATCACGAATCATTTTCATGACTGCGAGACTGCAATACGTTCCAAAGTCGAACTGCCATGTAAGGGTCGGAGAAGTTCGATGGTTCTCAAGAGTCCTTGTCTCGCCGATCTTGTACTGAAATGCTTCCGAGGAAATAATGCTTGCTCGTTCGCTTAGGGCTGTGGACTTGTCAAGGCGAAAACAGCATTCAGGACTAAAACGGATCGACGTGGCCAAATATTCCATGACAGTGTAATGCGAGAATGAGATTTCTAATCCGCCACAAAAGTCAAATTCGACATCTGCCGTGACAGTTACGAGACAGCCGCATAATTCGCGAAGGAAGTCGACATCGTAGCGGTAGTCTTTTGCACACCGGCTTTGCCGTGACAAGTCTTTTTGGATTGCCTCTATCAATACGTTGGAGTCGATCCATTTACGCCCAAAAACTTTGTTGTTGAAGCAGATCCAATCAAGGGCCGAAACCACAATTTGAAGATCTTCTTCGGGTATGGCCTCGAGAATTTTGTCGTATGCTTCATCGAGGGTTTTTGGAAGATTTCTCAGTTCGTTCATGATAGCTGCCTTGCTCCCTTTGATTCGTCGCAAAGAGTCGAGCTGGCACACGATCCAACGAAACCTGCGGAGCGATTAGTCTCGCATAGACGATAGCGGTTGTAAGTGACATACTTACATTCCTTTTGCGCCAATACACAAGGCCTCTAGAGCCTCTTGGCGTACATCTTCTGTCCAGTCCTTCAACTTGTCGTTGATAGCGAGTCGAGATTCAGTATACAGACGAATATCAGCATCGAGGTACTTGTTCCTCATAGAAATTCCCGTCGAAACCTCTTCCATGACTTTTTCAATGTCCAGATATTCGCGACTTGTCACTAAGAGCCGGATGTTTGAGAATCTCAAGTCGGTGGCGAGATCTCGCAAGACCTTGAGAAGCTCTTCTCGGGGACTGCTTTCGTCAACAGCGTCAATCGTGATGTGAACACTGCTGAAGTAGCGTGAGACAGCCTCAAGAGCAGTGAGCAGGTCGCTGAGGCTAGGATCCTTGCCATCCTTGAACAATTTCCAAAGATGGTCTGGGACCTGATCTACCTTCCTACACATACGCTCAAGGACCCATCTCAAAAATGGAGCTGACTCGTCCTGATTGTGCCCAAAGTAGCAGTAGTAGTGAATTCCAATCGACACAGAGTCACTTGAAGTAGACTGTCGGCAATTCTCTTCGATTTTCTCAGCGAGTTGTGAAGCCAAGATAGTTTTGCCGGCTCCCGGGATGCCATGAATCCACAGGCATCGTACATCTCCTTGACTGAACTGGGCCCACTCTGGAGTACGTGACATCCATTCGCACGTTCCAGGTTCGTGATTTGTGCAAGCTCGGTAGTGAATTGATGACGGGTCAGTATGTCTGAGCCACTTGTACACATCGTTTCGTTGGTTTTCTAACCATTAATGTGACGATCAGTATGGTAACAGTGGCCATCGCTTAAGAGGTCGAGTGGAACATACCAGTCAGAACTTGCTGGATGCGTGAAGTTCCCTCGCGTATGAGCTTGATGTCATGACTAGGCGAAAATAAGTCTCAAAATTCTCGCGGGCTACTCGTGGTTTTTATATAAGACACAGCATTTTCACTTACCTGGATGTTGCGGTTAAAGCGAGACTGATTGTATTTTTGCACCGTGCAACGTCTTGGAGCAGTTTTCTGGCCTTCGTCTCTTTCAACGGCCATGCCAAGTTCCTCAGAGTGACCTGCACTTTCCTTCTCGTCGAATCAGGGGGCCCTTGTGCCTGGTTTTGGTCAGAGGCGATCAACTTCTCCAGCTGTTCGATGGCGCCATGGCATTCTGCAACAGGCCCTGCATCTCCGTCCAAAGCTCTTCGCAAAGCCGAGTATGGTTCTTCGAATTTGAGGAGGAACTCGACGTTCTGCAAGACTGCCCCCACCGAGGAACATTCGACGAGGATCGTGCGTAGATCGGAGGGTGCATCCCGGACGTTCTCGATGTAGTGCTTGCAGATTGATACTACTCTATCCGCGATCTGAATAGTTGCGAAGACGCTCGCCACAAGACCGAAGGCTTCTGCCATCTTTCAGCCGTCGTCAGTACTCAGGGCAGTACTGAAACGATCGATGACAGCAGCGACCCGCGTACTTGAAAAGGAGAGAATGGCGAAGATACGATCAGGCTGTGGGCGGGGAGATCTCGCCTTATGATTTCTATGGCCCCCGAAAGCAGCTGGCAGAATGCCTCGAAGTGTGCCCAAGGCAGGCTGTGCCGCAGTCTGACAACTCCAGTCCAATTATTCGTCGCAGCTATGGTGCGCCTCATAACGATTCCGTAGCCTGCATCGCCATGGGGGCTGGTGTGCCAAGGCATATTGACCAATCAGATGTTTATCGCTGTGTGAGGAATTGCATTGCAGATTACTTTGTCGAATGTGTCTATTTCTATCAGGTATTGAGACATGCAAGTAACGCTAATCGCTCACAAATTGCTGGAAATTCTAGTCATGAAGTTGGTCATCAGTTCATCCTCCTCCGGGATCAAGCCAAACTTATCCGCGCTCCTCTCGTTCTGGAAGCCCTCATCGGGGCTCGCCCAGCTGTAGCCCTTCCACACGCCCAACTCGGGCCACATCTTCTGCTCCACGAGAGCCTTGAGCTTCTCATACCGCGCCGAAGCCTCGCTGCCAGCAGCGAGACCCTGGAGCACAAGCTTCCACGACTCGACAGTTTGCTCGAGCTCCGCGGTGCTGGTGACGCCCATCACGCTGCCTCCGACGCGCACGTCGCCGCTCTGGCCCGGCAATTGCACGCCGAGACCAGCTGCGGCGCCGACGCGGGCGTACTCCTCCATTGACCAGTGAAGCGCCACGGTTTCCAGACGCTCGCCGGCATCGCTGGCGATGGCCGAGAGCTTCTGGCATGCCGAGCGCAGGTCGTCCGGCGCGGGGTGCCACGACGCGATAACGCCGGCCTTGCCCTCCGCCGTCTCCGTGCGCGCGGGAACGCCTGTGGATGTGAGGAGACCCATACCGAGCATGCTTGCGTTCAGCACGACCTGCACGCCGGCGTTGCGGAATCTCCGCAGCGGGCTCTGCTCGTCGGTGTGGTCGGGTCCGGCGACAACCTCTGCGAGGCCGAGCGTGGGGTTCTGGATGGTGAAGTGGCCGTAGCTCAGGATTGCATCGAGAGCCTCACCCGTCTCAGCGAGGATCATCTCGGCGAGACTGCAGAGAACATGGACGGGGAAACCACTGATACCGACATAGCGGATCTTGCCCTCATCGCGAAGCTGTCTTAACGTCTGGACGGCAGCAAGGACTTCTGCGGGGGAGACGAACTCGACGTCGTGCATGTACACGAGGTCGAGGTACGTCGTGTTGAGGCGGCTGAGGGAGCGGAGGACAGAGTAGCGCACGTACGCCGGCGAGTAGTCAAACTCGTTGCCGGCGATGCGGCCTGCCTTTGTGACCAGCACGTAGGACTCTCTGGGGATGTTGGTGGCTGCGGTGTGGGCGGCCAGGGCGTCACCGAGCAGGACTTCTGAGGGGCCGTAGTACGGCGATGTGTCGAAGCCGTTGACGCCGAGCTCTAGCGCCCTTGAGACGATTTGCCTGTACGGCATCTGCAGCGGGTCCTTTACATGCTGGGTGTTGAAGGTTGCTGTACCTAGGAAGACAGGTGGCAGGACAGAGGCGATGGAAGGCCGGGAGGCCGGGTTGAGGCTTGTTGTGGTAGCCATGACTCCTGGAGGAAAGGTGATATGAGAATGAGATGAGAGCTAGTGAGAATGGTTCGATATGCTCAGGGAGTAAAAGTTCGGGAAGAGGGGCGGGAAAGAAGAGGGACTTGTCAGGAAACTGTCTAGCCTTAAGACGGGAAGTGAGAAGAAAGGGCTGAGCCGGTGAGGTGTTTGCTACTTGATATGAGAGGGTCACAACAGGATCGGTCCAGAAGTCTGGTCTAAAAAGCCCGCATGGGGGGCCTCGCTGCTTGCCAGGCTCCTGGACTAGGAAGAATTCGTTATTAACCATAACTGTTATGTGGGCATTTGAGACCGCTCTTCTCCGTCCGCTTCTATTAGCGTACCCAGAAACCGTGAGCTCGGATTCTCCCAGGGCTAGGCTCAAGCCGCGTACGCTCAAAGGGTACTCGACTCAGTGCCGATACATAGGTAAGGTATTAGAGTATCAACTCGTCAATACTTACGAAGCTATGTTGCGTGGTGGGGTTTATGCGTGGTCCATCTTGGGCCAAGCCCTTGGGCGCGAGCTATTTTACCAAGTGAATTTGGACCGATTGCACGTGTCACCTCGTCTCAACTTGCCACAACTTGATAGACAAAAGTGACAGAGTGACAGCAGAACGACAGGTTGGGCAAAGCCGCAAAAGAGAGAGAGAAGAGAGATCATGGGTGGGAGGACCCCCAAATGCAAGAATCCTTGCCAACTGCAATTTTTCTCCTACCGGGCCTCGCCGGCCGGCATAAGTGTGGCGGAACCCCCAGTATCCATGTTCCTCTGAGACTTCCCGTTTCAAGCCACCCTCCTTGACTCGTCATCCACAAACAGATCCCCCCGATCCCTGGCGCCAGTCGTACGGTCGCACCAGAAAGCACCACAGAAAGTCAGAAACCCAGAAGATGCGGTGTGCTCCATTGCGGACGCTAAACTTGTTTTGTCATATAAACCGTCATTAGCCTCAAAATTTCCAAAACACTCGGCTTTCAGGGTGCGTTGTCCAATTCACTCTTGGGTTTTCCCTCATAATCTTTGCCAACGAGAGAGGCGGGCGGCACTTAACAAAAGCCCCTCAACCTTGGATCATCATCAGGGTCGTCTGTAGTTCGACTTTGCTTCTTCCGAGCCCGGTGTAATAGTTGTTAATTATCATCGTCGACGAGAGCAGGCTCCGACACTCACAATGGCCGCCGTTGCGTCCCTGGACCCTCACATTCGCGGCATCATCGATGATGCCGCCGCCGATGGCATCCCGTTCCGGGCCAAGTCGGCTCACTTCCACACCACCTGGGCGCGCACCTTCTCATCGCTGCCGGAGCTCTTCATTCAGCCTCAGTCGCAGCAGGAGGTTGAGAAGGCTGTCAAGCTTGCGCGCCGGTGCAGACGGCGCATCACCACGGTTGGCCATGCACACTCACCTTCGGACCTCACGTGCACGAGTAACTGGCTGGTCAACCTCGATGGATTCAAGAAAGTGTTATCTGTCGATAGTAAGCACAGACCCTCATGTCATATCTCATTCACTCATCCGCGTAATCTCATGAGAGCTATGCTAATGCACCTTGACAGAAGAGACTGGTCTCGTTGTCATGCAAGCCGGCATCCGGCTATGGCAGCTCACTGAGGAGCTGAATAAGCATGGCCTCTCATTCCCTGTGCTGGGTAGCGTCAACGAGCAGAGCATCGCCGGCGTCATCAGCACAGGAACCCGCGGCAGCACCCTGAAATACGGTCTGCTTTCGGAGGCCATTTCCTCCCTCAAGATCGTCCTTGCCAACGGTGAGACGGTCTCATGCTCGCCGGACGAGAACCCGGATCTCTTCCGCGGCGCCACGCTGTCGCTCGGCGCCCTCGGCATCATTACCGAGGTCAGCTTCCGTGCCGTGCCGGCTTTTAGCTTGCACTGGCAGCAGACGATCCAGGCCGACTACAAGATGCTCGACGCCTGGAAGCAGGACAACAAGCTGTGGACTCAGTCCGACTTTGTTCGGGTGTGGTGGCTGCCTTATACCAGGAGGGCCGTGGTCTGGAAGGCAGACATTGTCACAAAGGAAGACCTCGAGTCCGGAAAGGAGAAGAACCGAGATCCGCCAGTCGGCTACTACGATGGAGCTCTCGGTTATCACATATACCACAACCTCCTTTACCTATCGCGTTACATCCCTCGCATCCTGCCCTGGGTTGAATGGTAAGCTGAAGCCCCTTCCTTGATACACCTCATCCGACGTCGTCGACGGACTCAACGGACTAACTGACGTCCTACAGGTTCGTGTTCGGCATGCAATACGGCTTCAATGATGGCTACACCTCATCAGCCGTCCAACCCATGGATAAGGCTTTGTGGATGAACTGTCTCTACAGCCAATTCGTCAACGAGTGGGCCATCCCGCTCCACCGCGGGCCCGAGGCCCTGATGCGTCTCGGATCCTGGCTCAACAAGCTCAAGCCGGGCGACCCCGACTACGTCGACCACGGCATTCCCTTCTCTGCTGAGGGCCTCTACGTGCACTCGCCCGTCGAGGTCCGCGTCTGCGACGCCACCGTCCACACCAGCGCTGAGCAGCGCAACAGACCCTTCCTCGACAGCACCGTCAAGGACGGTCCCACGCTCAACCTCAACGCGACAATGTACCGACCCTACGACCTCGACCCGCCCGGCCTGAAGCGCTGGATGCAGGGCTTCGAGTGGTTGATGCGTGACCTCGGTGGCAAGCCGCACTGGGCTAAGAACTTCAGCGTCAAGAACGAGGAGTTTGCTGAGTGGTACGGTGATGACATGGTCCAGTGGCGTCGTGTCCGCGATGAGGTTGACCCCGACGGACTGTTCGTCGGACCTTGGCACCGGCAGTTTGTGCTGGATCCCAAGAGCGCTCCTCTCAAGTTTGAGGAGTTTGAGAAGACGAGGCATGATGCTGGCCGGGGTGTAACCGTATACGGCACCCGTCTGGAGATCGAAGATGCCGATGCTGATGTCAAGGCATGAGCTACCCTATCTTAGTTAGTATCTGTAGTGTCTGACTGTGTAACTTCTTGGCCCGGTGAATGGCGTGGGCTGTGAAAATTGGCATCTGGATCTTTCATAGCATTGATTTACCTCCTACAATACAATCACATAGATTTCAAGCGAGGCAATTTCCATCACCCCGCCCAGACTGCCCGGAAGCATTTTACATCCAAAGTAAGATTGTAAACAGTTCTTATTCCCAATATTCGAATACGATGAAACGTGCAAATCATTGCCTCTTCCGTTGATGCCTCCCTTCCCAGCCAACAATCTTTCTGGTCCCTGAATTTTGGAGCTGTCTCCTTTTCTGCGCAGTCGATAACCCACCCCTCCATCCACCCCCATGGGCACGCAGCTACGGTAGGCGAGGGTAGGACGGGGGTCTTCTCCGTCAGTGCATCCGTCAAGATGCTACGTAGTACTTGGTCTGTGGTGTAGGTAGATAAATGAAAGTCCGAAAATGCCAGATACGTGTAAAGACAGCTTTTTACGCCGTAATGGTAGGTAGACCGTAGACCCCACACTTGACCCCCTCCCCTGTGTGATGCTCAGATCGTCGCCCTTTAATCTTGCTAAGCAAGAAAGACAAGGTAAGGGTCCGTGTTCTCCTGGAGCGAGATCACCCAATTCTGGGCACCAAGACGAGACTCCCAAGTTCTAGAATTTCTTTGGGAAGGACAACAAAGTTAAGGAATTCTGGATACCCTTCATCACATCATTCTTCTTTTTTCTCGCTCGGGCTTTTCAAGGGGCGGGCGGCAGGGCATGGTTCAAGTTTTGGTTCTTCGGCCGCGGGGCGCGGGTGAGCGGCAATCAGCGAGTTTGATCATCGCACAGAATTCAATGCCGCTCGTACGTTCGTCCCCCTTCGCCGGTGACGGTCGGCGAGGACGAGCGCGGACACTTGTTCTTTGTATCAACGTCGTCGTAAGGCTGCAGGCTCAACGTCGCATTGCGTCGCGATTGTGGATTAGTATTGCACTGCTGTGTTGCGCAATCGCGCATTATCTGAAGACCCCTTCGTCTTAGTTGGCGGTATGGCTTGCAGCAAGGGGACGCACCAACAGCTTAGTGCTCATGAGTAGCCTATATGGCTAGCATCTTCGGGACGTTTGACGAGGTCTTCGGATCGCTGATACCGAATTGATTACTGCCAATGCTGTCCATATTGAAAAATTATCAATTTCAACCTTGTTTGAGGTTCCTTAGCTGCGGTGTCTGAGAGAGAAAATAATATGAACATCTACTTGGCTTATATTAGTCGGAGAAATAAACGAAAAACTCAAAATGATTGAAAATCCAATCTTGCATGAAGATCCGGCCGGTGTTTGCCGGAGCCTCAGATGTTTGCGCACACGCACTGGCAGGCCCAGACAACTCTGTACTCCATCAGGTAGTCTGGGATATCTACAATGTAGGGGCTCGTCGCAGCACCATGTCTCCTACTGTACCCGGCTGGATATCCGATAGTGATATGGAAAGAAAGCGGCGAATCAGTTCGTCGACAATGATGCTATCCCTTCCCCTGCGTTGCCGATAACAAACAGATTGCTGGGGGTTCAATCCAGTGTTCTGAACTTCCGTCAAGTCTGTTCCCGAACGAGCGCGCGGCAAGCTCGAGCCACAGCCGGTGGGTTGGCCCTTGGGCTGGGAACAGGATTGTTGTCCACAACATCCGCGTACTCAAGGGGCCGTCCTTGCTTGCTTGCGTGTTGTGGAACCTCTTGCGTGAAATTGGTAACTGAGCCGCCTTTTGCCCAATGCCCAGTTATCACATAATCATGCAGTTTGTGAGCCGCGGTGCAAGGTGAGGGAGTGAGAGAGTCAAAGAGTGCCATCTAGCTTTGGGCTGTTCACCGCCGCGCCGCTGGCTGTGCTCGCTCCGTTCCCCCCAAGCGCGCCCACTTCCCGACTCTCTGGATTCACCGAAGGGCTGAGCGCAAATCAAGGAAGAAAATTTCTATCAGAGTAGCACTCAGCCGCGTCAATCCCGTTATGATTAAGGTTCTATGGTTAAGGAAGCCACGTCAGATGAACATCAATGATTGCTTTTTACTACGTTGAGTCCCGTAGTGGCGGGCAATGACGTGGTTGTGGACGGCAATCAATGTAGCTTGCGCAAAAAAGGGGCCCAACAAGCAAATACTGGTGGTGACTGTAAAGTTCAATGCTACAGTAAACACTTGAATGGTAAAGCAACCCCCCACCAGCCCGCGGGAGGCGCGTCTTTCCTTACTTGCACTCACAATTCATTCAAACAGAGTTTGGCGAGAACCAGATGGCACCTGCATGCGCTAGACTGTTAGCGGTCGATAGCATATTGATGTCTGTATGACGGGGCGGCCATCTGGGACGGTCCTGGAGACAGATAGACTGGATGGAGACTTGAAGTTTTGGAGTTTTGGGGACAAGAGTCGAACGGCCGGAGTCGACCCGTTGCCCCGGAATTGAGAGACAAGACAATACTCCACCACCCATCTCGGTAGTTGAGAGTGGTCAAGACTTTCAGACATGCTTGACATGGACGAGAAGGAATAAGGAAGGAGGATTCAGGAAGACGCAACGACCAGGTCCTGCTGCACTGTTGTCAGCACAGTACAAGCAGGGTACGGCCGACCTAGCCGTGTTGGGGGAGACGAGAACCTCTCAGTAGAGAGTGAATGTATGCAGAAACTCAAAGTTGCATACTGCTGCAGCTTCATCAGTGGAGAGAGAAAGGAGCCCGGGCCATCGATAACGTTCCGCAGCCGTCCCGTCAGGACATCATTGGGCCTCTGCACATGCTGGGTCTTACACAGGTGCAGAGCCATCTCTCCAATTTTATCTGAATCCCCGTTTTGGATCCTGTTGCCAGTTGGGAGGGGGGGGATGCCGTGAGAGAGTTGAGACTGAGGCTCTTATCACGGCCGGTGAGGACGACAGCCAACAACTGCCGATGATTTTCTCACGGGTTTCACAGTTGGGTGAGGGTCGGCAAGGCGCGCGTTAACAAGCACCCGTTCGTCATGAGTCCGGAAAAGCCGTGATGGGCGCAAGTCCGGGCGCCGGGCGCCGTCCGAACCAAACCCCCAACCCCAACCAGGCACCTCAGCACCAGCCAGTCATTCCATCATCCTGTCTGCAATAGCTGCCATCTTGGGTGACATGCGACAGCCGTTTTGAGACGAGGTGAAGTGGACGTGGCTTTTTCGCGCTTGTCCGATCTGATTCCCAGAATAGACACTAATGGTTCGTGTCAATAGGTAGTATGTTCCTGGTTTCGGTTGACTTTCTTGATGAAGCCTGAAGGTGAGGCGTGGAGGGCACATTCACAGTGTCGACTACATTTGCCAAGAAAGGAAATAGAGTCGGGGTCGCCTCAGCCCTCGTAGACTGCGAGACAACCCCCTCCAGAAAGTGCTACGTTGAACCGATTTGCGAGCAAAAGAACAGATGAAGAGACCATGGGGTGCAGATCCAAGAAAACGGCTCCTTCAGATAAACCTCTCTGCTGGACTAAAAATTGGTCCGTTGTACAGGTAAGTTGGGGTAACTGAGAGCCAAGACTAGCTAAGGTGTGAGAGAATGGTGATCATAGCCGAGCACATGCAAAAACCACTTTACTGAGTACTCACGAATCCGAGTTCCTCGCCATTGACTTTGAGCACTGGAGTTTTCCTCGCCACTACCTGCAACTTGTGCAATTTGTCTGACTCTCGGGTGGGAGGGGAAGGGAAAGTAGGGAGGGGGGCAGGCTATCAAGGCTCCCCTGCCACCAGATCTAGCAGAGAACAGCACAGACGGCAGCTCCCGACCAGAAGGTCGGGTCAAGCCAAGTGTGTGAGTAGAAAGTTAATGGTAGTGCTCGAAAGCCTCGAAGACGTGTGGTGTGTCTTGGCCACCAAGAGGACCCAGGGACTAAGGACCGAATGTCACCCTTGAACCCAGCCCCGACTTGGCCAGAAAGGAGTCGATCAACGATGACTGGACAGGGGCATGAAACTGACTCACTCTTGTTCTCTCTCTCCTCCAGGGCCCCCACCCTTCTTCTGTGGCTGGTGAGAGTGCTCTGTAAAGTTCAGGGACTCCAAGAAAGTAAAATGTCACCTCGAAAGGAGGCTCTGCCATGTCAGCTTGCGTCTGCAGCTTTCTGGGCGCCATTTATCGGTTAAAGCTGCCCAAAGACAGCTTAAGCCCCGATGCGCCTAGACGCCATCCGCCCACTCCTTTCGCTGGTGTGACCCTTTCCGCCCATCCACTTCCCGAAGAGGCGAAGGAGCCCCTCCATCTCCCATATTGCGGTGCCACCGGGGAGGACGGCAAGACGCTCGTTAGCGCGCGCACACAAAGAAAAAGACCCTCTTCAAAATATATTCCGTTTCAATGAATAGGTATCCGTAATCGCCTTGTCATCGCAATTGTGGATGACGTTGACTCCATCGATATTGCGTCGTCTTTTCCTTAGTGCGGCTGAGAGCGAGTTTCCTTATGCCCAGTAGGCCTGATGATTGAGACAGGAACGGTTTCAACACGTAGTTTTCCTTCTAGAAGAAGCCAAATAAGCAAGAAACTCACCTTGAGTACGACAGCGTCATCTGAAAGCTTCTTCAGATGAGGTTCGGCACGTCAGGGAGCCTGGACAACATTGGATGCGATGCAAGGGGACCGTATGTCAGAGTCAGACACCTTGCCGTGCTACCAACGGCGGCCAGCACGTGTCCAGCCTAGCCACCCAGCGTCTAAATCTATGTCCAACAGGCGGCTATCTTGGCGGGAGGGGGCCATGGCGTACCAGGCGCAGCTCGAAGGGGATCACGACAGCTGTACGTAGAATGACAGGAATTAACGAGGGGGGCGTTTAGAAACCGAAAAAAGCAATCTACGGAGAGATGCGTCTAGCGTGGATTGATAAACATTAAAGTTTGGCCCAGCTTCTCGCCCGAATCAGGACGCCACGGACGCCCATCAGATTGATCAGAGGGGACGATCTCTTGTCCTGGTTAGACGGAGATGAAGTGAGTTTGGGGGAGATGGCCAAGACCTGCAGATGTCCTCTTCTGACCCTTGCCAGCATGCAGGTACACCGAGGCCCAGAACCCAGGCTCGACCAGCTTTTCTCTTTGATATCTACGAATAATACACTATGGACGGTCCACGGGATATCCACGTCGTCCCGTCGCGTCGGTGTGGCTTGACAAACCCCCCATCCCGTCCCGGAACAAATCAAGACATACCACCGATGAACCGAGGTGGGAACTGATAACAGCATTCTCGCGGGATGAGGTGGCTTACATTATGCAAAGTCTGGCATATGCCTGCTCTTCGGAGGCGCACGAACCCTCGCGTCAGGTTTCCTATTGGATTAAGGGGAGGGGGGTTTACCAGTCTTGGCCCGTTGTTTATTGTGGGCTATTTTGAGACTGCGACTTCGTCACCCTTCCCACGCCTTCTTACCGCGGCCAAACGTGCATGTCCAGAGTAAATGAAAGGGCTCTCTGTGAGCTTGTACCCCCCCGACACGGTGAAGCATGGTTCACCTTGGATACCGCTTCGCTGTGGAAAAGGACGCCCACCCTCTGTCATGAACTTTGACGGCAGATCGCCCATGATAGGCTCGAGCCAGGGACCTCCCTGTGCATCAAATTGAGGATCCGCTTTACGCCCAACGACCAAACTCCTCTTTTTTTCTAGGCTTACAAGTTACACTAGACTGAATATACTGGAGATATCGATGGCTCCAAGGTATCCGATGGATCGAGCACCTTTGATCAGTATTAAAGAGCGGATCTTCCTCTCTCCATCACGGGTCTATCATCAGCAAGATCATCAGCTTCACTTTCCAACCGCCTTTCTTCTTCTCATCAAACATCAACAGAGTTGATTAAAACAAATCAGAGCCGGGCTCCATTTCACTGCTTCACTTCTTCCAAGCAACAGAAACATCGAGCCTCACCCGCTTCTTTCAACCTTTTCTCCCTTTTCCACCACACATATTTCAAAATGGTTCCTCCTCGCTCTGGATCTGCTATGGGCATGCGCAGCCGCGGCCCCGTAGAGCTCAACGTCAACCTCGCCAAATCATATGAGATTCGCGGCCCCAAGTCACCCATGCCCAGATCTCCTCTCCGCGACGTCACCCACGAGGACCGCAGGGCCTCATCATCATACGAAGACCGGCTCGATGGCGCCATCCACGTCCTCCGCACTGAGGCAAACGCCCTCATGGCCCTTACTCAGCTCTACTCCTCCGAGCGCGTCTGCCGCGACGGCTTCTACCGCTCCGTTGATGCTCTTGTCCGCCACCGCGATCACCGCGGCAAGGTCGTCTTCATCGGCGTCGGCAAGTCTGGCTGGATTGCGAAGAAGCTCACTGCCACCTTCAGCAGCTTGGGTCTCCCCGCCGTCTTCCTTCACCCCACTGAGGCCCTCCACGGTGACCTGGGCATTGTGGGAGAGTACGACACCCTCATCATGATCACCTTCTCCGGCAAGACCCCCGAGCTCATGCTCCTCCTGCCTCACCTCAACAAGAAGTGCCCTCTCATCCTCCTCACTTCACCCACCAGCATGGAGACATGCGAGATCGCAAAGGCCCGCCCTGATCTCATCCTCCTCCCTGCTCCCATCCCCGAGTCTGAGAAGGATACCTTTGGCGTCTCTGCGCCTACCACTTCTACGACCATGGCCATTGCCATGGGCGATGCCTTGGCGTATGTTGCTTCAAAGGAGATGTACTCATCGGTATCATCAGTCTTTGCAAAGAACCACCCTGGTGGCGCCATTGGCCAGGCTTTCAAGACAAAATAAACAGCCACTTGGTTGTCGACTTTTGTATTGAGAAAAGCTTTCTAGTGTTTTGAGGCAGGGCGTTGTCGGATATCAGGGAGGACTTCACAGACGTTAACGGACAGAGTTCAAATTGCTCATAAGGCGTCCAATCTTCATTGTAAATATCTTGTTCGGATTCGGGATTATTAGGCAAAACTAGCGGTTTTCGGGGACTCCATAGACTTCATTTCTTATGTTCGATACCACAATTCGATGATCATATCTCGTATTATCTCTCAAGTTCAAACATACCTCTCTTCCCAAAACGATGTGCCATACTCCGGAACGAGAATATAGACTGCAGGCATCTCATTTTGCCATCTCATTTCGATACAAAGTATAAAATGGAACTAAGTGTACTCGAGATGACTTCATTCCATGTACATCTGTTTCTTAGAAATTATTCACGCTTGGCATAAACATTGAATCCAGTTTATCGTACATCTCGGTGGTGCTACGTAGGGCATGTTGCATTTGTCGCCACACTAATGCAGGGTAATGGCGAGATCATCAATCCTCCCTGAGGAGGTGAAGATCGATTGATCGATGTTTGAAAAGTCTCGACTTTGGGCCTCCTTGTTTGCAAACACCTCACATCAACGTACAAATGTGTCGTTGCACATATCCTGATACTTCATCCACCGGCCCAGTGATACCTCGCCAGGCACTCTTTTGCCGTGCCGTGATGCCGACATAAGGCTAGGTAGTACATATTCCATAATCCCCTCAAGTCTCAGCAAAGGAAAAGATCCCAAACCCAGAGTTTCTTCTGCGGAGCATATGTGCCACACGGCGTGAGCGGGTGGATGAATGAGTGCCGTGCTTGCCTCTCTTGCCAGAGATCTGGGACTGACACAACCCACACCCACCCACTGTCACAAGTCAAAAATCTCCATGAGTTTGTTTTGCCTTTGCTGCCCAGAACCCAGAACGGCAAGTGAGTAAGAGAAAGAGAGAAGCAGAACCCCGCTTGTCCGCCTCGACTGGAGTTGGCACCTGCAATCTCTTTCACACAACAAGTTCTAGACGCCGCACCTTGGTTCCCTCAGATCCTGTCGTCCAGTCGCCCTTCCTCCTATCATTGGCAGACGACGGACGTTGACCCTGCCATCTCTACTTGAGCCCCTGCAGGATGATCGCCCGTGCATAGCCAGGGAATATTCCTTGAGTACGGACCAATCGACCGACAGGGGCTTCCTAGTCTTATCCCACTAGGAACCTCACCAGCGTCGCATTGACTCGATCCAACGGAGGGTACGTACTCCACCCACACACATTCGGGTCGAAAGTCCTTAAAACAGTTTGATATAACGCCAACCCGTAACGGCACGTGGGGTTTGACGCGTAGTTGCCGGGATAGGGGGGCATGGGCCACCCGAAAGGCTTTCCTTTTGGCACATCATCTTTGCGGCTTGCCCGCTGCGGTCGTCCGTTGTGGGCACCATCCCATCCCTCCCCCGTCGCGTCTCGTTGATTCAGGAGTCCTCAGAGAAATTAATAATTCCTGGGTTATCGCTGCGGTGCCGCCGATCCGCACCCAAGGTGATCCTAGTCGATCACCGGCCCTGGGGTCCCCAAGCATGATGATGAGCTGTGTTCATCATCAGCCACCCCGAGCTGGCGGCTACAACGACGTATGCCATGTGGGGAGGGGGGGCGTGGGATGTAAGGCCTGCGTTGCTTCTTAGACGCTGCCCGTCAATTATCCAAGACATGCGTAGCACAGCAAGCGAGAATGATGTGGTTCTCGCCCCTTGGACTTCATGGTCCTGATAGGGTCGGTCCCCGTCCTCGGCGGGCTCCTTTCCCTGCCTCTTGCAGTTATCACTCAATGAGGCCCATCATTGACAGGAAAACCTCCATTCCCTCTCCTTCACTCACCGCTACCAGTCTGGAAGCTAGCAGTAATGATCCATCACCATGTCGGACTCTCTCCAAGTGCCTGACCCCGCCAGGCTACAGTTCTACCCTCCAGGTGGACAGAAGCAGACCAGATTCGCTCCTCTCCCACCGAGACCACCGCCGCCTCCTGGTAGGCACTCCTTCATCAATGCCAGGAGCTCATGGATGCGAAGAAGCCAACGCTTCCAACCTCTTGGACTTGAACCACCACCGTCAGACCGCTTCTCCCGCTTGCCGCGGCTAAGCAGGTTATCATACTACCCCGTCGCCAACGAGTATATCGAGGGTGTCTTCAACGAGAAGACTGCCCTCCCTCCACGATGGTCCTTTTACGTGCCAGACTTTGACTTTGATGTCGAGGACTTTAAGAAGTATGACGAGAAGCCAGAAAATGAAGACGACGAGGGCCCGCCCACAGCCCTCAAGGCCTTCCGTGTCGACTTTTGGGATGGAGACCCGGATGACCCAAAGAACTGGTCGACGGCCTACCGTGTGCTCGTCGTCGCCATGTTTGCCTTGACGACACTGGCTACGGGCATCTACTCGACGGCCTACTCCAGTGGTATCACCCAGATGAGCCAAGAGCTCAACGTCACCAACCCTTCACTACCTCTCCTTGGTATCTCTCTTTACCTCGTCGGTCTTGCCCTTGGTGCCCTTATCATGGCACCTCTGAGTGAGACCTTTGGCCGAAGACCAATGTACATTGGCGGCCTGACAGTATTCTTGGGACTGATTCCTCTCGCCGCACTGGCAACCAACTTCACGATGGTCATCGTGGCACGTTTCTTAGGGTAAGCCGCCTTCACATTGTTCCTTCACTTATAAGATCAGTTGCTCACACGAACTCCAGTGCTGTCGCGGGAAGTGTCATGCTTTCCAACGTTGGCGGCTCCATCATGGACATCACGAACCCCAAATACTTGCCGCTGGCTATGTCAGTGTACTCATTTGGACCCCTCAACGGTCCCGTCCTCGGGCCTCTCATGGTAAGTTCCAATCACTCAAGTTCCTCGGCCCAGGTCACTAACAATAATGACAGGGTGGATTTCTCGTTGAAGCCTTCGGCTGGAGATCACTCAACTGGATGTCATTGATCTCAACAGCCGTCGGAGCTCTCTTCATCATGACCGTCCCAGAGACGTACCGGCCTACACTTCTGAGAAAGAAGGCTGCTGCAAAGCGGCAAGAAGAGGAAGACCACAGATACTGGTCCGACTTTGACGACACCGTTCCTATCTTCCGCAGGATCAGGACGGCCGTGTCCCGTCCCTTCATCCTATCTTTCACTGAGCCCGTGCTCATGTTCTGGAACATTTACATATCTGTCATTTACGCCATCGTCCAGTTGGCCTACGTCGCATTTCCTATTGTCTACACCACCGAGCGCGGCTGGAGCGTCGCCATTTCTGGTCTCGCCTTCCTCGGCGTCTTTGTCGGTATCGCGCTAGTCCTAGCCACCGAGCCGCTTCTCAGAAAGCTGGTCAATCGCCAACCCAAGAACCCGGAGACTGGCCAACAGGAGCCAGAGGCAGTCGTCCTTCTCATCTGCATCGGTGCGGTCCTCGAGCCCGTCGGCCAGCTCTCATTCGCTCTGACTTCCCTACCCATCGACATCCCCTTTTACTGGAGTGTCCTATCTGGTGTCCCCTTCGGCTACGGCTTCGGCCTCGTCTTCATTTACGGAACCAGCTACATCTCAAAAGTCTTTGGCATGTACGCGACCTCCGCCTCAGCCGGTAACCTCGTCTTCAGATCTATTCTGGGCGCCGTGTTGGTGCTCGTCGGCAAGAGCATGTACGCCGCCCTGACACCGCGCATTGCGGGCATTACGGTCGGTGTCGCCGAGGTCGTGCTCATGCCCGTCCCCTTTATCTTTTATAAGTGGGGCAAAAAGATTCGGCAGAGAAGCAAACTTATTCAAACTTTGGAGGAGCAAGCGAAGAAGATGTCTTAATTTTTTTATCCCCTCTGTACTACGGAAACCGGAAAGATACCCCCTTTTCCTATGTCGAATACTGTACTGTGAACCAGTCACCAGTTACATTCTTGTCAAATAGCCTTTATTTATCAAACATCTGTACTTAGAACCTCGAGCGATCAAAATGTGTAGAATATAGATAGAATCATCATCATTATCCAAAAGTCCAATCTTGCCTCCCATCTTCTATCTCATCTCTCGTACGAGTACATGTAGTTACTGCGTCGTAGATTGCACGCACAGTCGTGAGATTTGCGGTCATTGCAAACTCGTAAGGTACATGTAGTTTTCCTATGCCGAACAAAGTTGCAGCCGCTCTTTCCAACACATTTTGACCCACTGATTCTGTGTATATCGACACGGCTCTTCTGCAGGGGACAAATTACTCGCAGGGCTCGCAGTGTTTGTCACACCCCCCGTCCAAACATTTTCCCGCAGCATCCTGAGCGCCACTGAGATATTGAGAAGCTTCTGCTTGTCGATAATCCTCTCAAACAGGTCTTCTACCTCATACCGCCGTGCGCTCACCGCCATGCTCTCGCAGCCGAGCACAAACACGGGCCAAACCATCATGGTCGCCGCATGCGTGTCGAGCGGCACGGCGGCAACGGCGTCGGATAGCTGCTCCACCAAAGCCAGGGGATGCTTTGTGGGACGTTCGGCTGCCAACGTGCTTGAGTCACCCTCGTCCGCGCGGAGCAGGAAGATTTGTGTTGCCAGGCTGTGGGCCCGGGCGGCTGCGATGCAGGCGTTGGCATCGCGGATTTTGAGACTCGTTGGCGGAGCCGATGGATCAGTATTTGGATCTGGCTGATGTTGAGGAGGTGGAAGATCTTGGCAAGCTGATTCAAGTTTTTCTAGGAGATGACATCGAGAAGAGACAAAGTCCTCGGGCATAATCATCGTTTGGAAGAAGTCGTCAACCAGCGAGGCTGCTGCTCCAATCACCGGCAAGATGCGCATCGAGTAGCCGAAAACAATGTCTGGCCCATTGGCGGCAGAGTAGTCTTGACATTTTGGGAGGATGAGATCTTGCCAGGCCTGCTCGTCAAAGACCGGGTGTGTTGCGCAAGGTACGCAGCAGAACGTGTCGATGTAAGCCATCATCTTGACGTTCACTGCCATCATTGGAGTGTCCTTTTCGATTGGCCAATTTGGGGCCACTCTCTGTCGTAAATTGTGTCTTTCTTGCATTTGCGCTTTAAGGCCTCGAAGAAGAGGGATGATTGATGGTGTATGCGACCCTTGCATGATTTCCATGCCAACGAGCGCTGCTGATGCTGCAATCGCCTCTTCACTCAAATACACTGGGAACGACGTCTGAAACTGGGGATTCGATATGGTTCTAGGCTGCTTTACGCAGGCCACCATTGTGGAGAGTGCTCTCTGTTTCCTTTCGAGAGTTTCTGCATGTTTGAGCTTCCCGAGTGCGTAAAGATGGGCGGACCCGGCAGCCAGGACCGCTGGAAGAAGGATGGAATTTTCCTTCCAGACAAAGGCAAGATATGGTTGCCGTATGGTAGCGTATTCTTCAGGGTTGGGATATACAAGATCCGGCAAAGAGTCGGCCCAGTGTCTGAAAATGAAGGCATCTGAGGACGAATGAAGTTTCGGGCCCACTGACAGACTGCGTGCTACGGATGTCGGGGGGATAGCTTTTTTCCTACACGCGGCCGACTTTTTTGATGGACAAATCGTCAAAGAACTTCGGGGTTTGATGACGTTCTTGCTTGCAGATTGGCTATCCGGGCTGATATCGCTAATCTCAACCCATTTCAGATGTATCTGGTATCCGACACACTCGACACCACGACGCTCGCACTGCTTGCAGAACGGGCGCGCCTCGTCGCACTTGATACGGGCTGTTCGACATGTCCCGCATCCTGTGTCAAGAGCAGAGAAAAGTTAGATCCTACGCCAAGAGACGGTAGAAAGAGCCAAGCGCGATGAGACTTCGACGCGTTTGTCAGCCTCGTCGAGTGCGGGTTGACGAACCGTTGCGAGAGCGCCTGTGAGCTTGAGCAGCCATTGAAATCCGCCCGGCATTAGCCGATTTTGTGAGGTGAGGTGAGGTTTTGTGCTACGTGTGATGTTGATAGAAACTTCCCTCCCCCCAGACCAAATTGCAGGTGATTTGAGTTCGTGATTCCGGTGGGATAAGATGATACAGGTCGTTGAACTCAACCTGAGTGGTTTGTGCTGATGCAGAATTGTAGATGAGAAGAGAAACGCGTCTAGCCATGACCAGATTAGGAAAAAAGAACGACTCCTTACTCGCCAAGATGGCGAGGTGTCTTGGTTTTATGTGCTCCGCTTTCATCCGGTTCCGACGACAAAGCGGCAAGTGGAGACCGCTATGAGGTTGTAACCAATAGCAACTACGTAACCGAGTCAGCAATGCCGTCGATGTTGTCACTAAAACATAACCATGACCTTGAAGATATGTTGACATCTTGGCTTGTGCTGAGTTGACTTTTCTGTATTTTTGGTTACATTCTCTAGCTGTGGCCTCAGTTTGTCCCGAGTTGACGGGTCATTTTACGATACAGTTCAGACCTTGCCAAGCTTCTATCCACATGGCTGGGGCACATTTGGTACCCTAAAGATCTAGACTTTCTAATGCAGCATGGGAAGGTCAGACCTAGTCAGGGTGGGGTTTTACCGACTACGGAGTGGATTCGAAGAGATCGCTGCTTCGTGAGGACTTGAGCGGGCATTCAACGTTGTAATGAAGACGTCGATTTTGAGAAAGTTCAGATCTGAGTAATACGTGTTGCCTCGTGGATTCATGGAGGAATGAGGGGGCGCTTACATTTTGAACTAAGAACCTAGCGGTATCTGCTAGAGCGCTATTTCGCCCCACAAATGATGTCTGGCATGAGCTTCCATCATGGTATCAAATCGTCAACTTCATAGATGTACAATGAAATGTCATCGACTGCTAACCCAGCCAATCAAATTTAAGGAAGATCCAGAATGTTACTGAGTACAGGTATCTTGAATGGACCAGAATTGACATTCACAGCGTGCGCTATAATAATCCATACAAATAGCGTAAGTCGTAAACTGCAACCACCAAGGTGAATCGGATCCTGATTTCTGGGCATATGCAAAGTTGTGACATTTCTATCGTTTGTGATCTTATTTGCCTATCAGAATCATTCCATTTAATTGCACCAACTCACAGGCGAATCCTTCAAAGAGACTGCATTGGATATGAATCCCATGAGAGTGCTGACATGGTAAACTAAAATCTGACAGGCTGATTCTAGACGTTGACATTGGTTGGATGCAAATTGTCCCTTGTTGTGCTTCAAACACATTCGACTTCGCCATGCTGATCAATATCATTATCACCATAGTACTTATTGACGTTCCCCCCGGCAATGACCAATTCATCTTTGGTCGCGTACTTACCACCACCATTTCTCAACCCCCATCATGGACCGCGCGAATCTCATCGCAACACTCGCCGCAGCGAGACAAACCCCCAGACGACCTATCGTAACCCTCGCAAACTGCGACAACGCATGGCTCATCTCTATCCCCAGACCTGCAGGAGCGACCGGTAAAAAGGTCTTTTACCATATCTTGCAAGACCCTTGGCTCTTTGGCGTCAGCGACATGCTCATTAGCTACTTCTTGCGGCTGTCGCTCAAGGAAAAATCGGTGCTAGAAACCATCGAATCCTGCGAAGATTTAGTTCGAGAGATTGAGGAGGCAGTCGGGGGCTCCAAGGAAGACGACGAGCACTGGCTCGATGCGGTGACCGTCACCCATACCAATCCGGATCACCTGCACCAACCGACGCTGCGAACCTTTGATCCATCACTCAAAGTCCTTGCCGTAGAAGACGCCGCCACCACGATCTCTGCAATGAAGCACTTTCACAACGTCCACGTTCTTCCGGACTTTGTACGTGGCCAGGCGTGGCCCGCTACGCCAGAGATTCCCGAGTGGTTGTCCATCTTCCGGCTTGAAGACGAGACAAAGAAGTACCCGAACCTTTACCATGCCATCGTCATCAAAATCGCAGCTGCGGATGGAAAAGACGAAGTCATTTTGTACAGCCCTCACGGAGTTGACCCCGGTATCGTCGAAGCCGCCATGGAGATGAACCCCGACGCGAAGGTTATTGCAATGACGCACCCAATCAACGAGGCTGGCGTTGGACTCAAGACCAAGGGGGTAGCTAATGCTCTGAAAATCCAGCGGAAGCATTCACCAAAGTATTGGATCCATTGCCAAGAAGGCATACAGTATACCGGGTTCTTGACCTGGTTCTTCGACTATGGAGACAAGACTTTGGAAATAGGCCTGGAGGAAGAGGCAAGGGAAACCGACGAGGAGCTTCCTAGACCCAACTACGTGACTATCTCGAACGGCGCAGGGTTTGTTCTGGCATAGTTAGGGATATGCGAATGAAGTAGGCATGGAGTCAAATCGGTCGTCCTCTGTTTGAAGCTTCATCACGCAACCAACTACTTTATATCTGCATTTCTAAATAAGCCAACGGAAGCACAAGTGACTTAAAAAGTGAATGCATAATAGGAAAAAGCAAAATCGGTATCATGAGGGTCTCAAAAGCAAAAAGACTCCTCGACGGGGAATTGAACCCCGGTCCCCTGCGAATCGTGGGATTTCCCCGGTGACAAGCAGATATCCTCACCACTAGACTATCGGGGATTGGTGGATGTTGACATCCAGTGATAGTTGGTTGGATGGGGAGGCGTCTAGCAGACCTATAGATCTATGTCCGTGCTTAGTAGAGTGGAGGTGCCAGAAGCCCTCAGCCAACATCAACTGAAAGCCCCAAATTGTCGTCAATAGAGCTAGAACGCAGTACGATTCAGAGACTTTGTAACCACCTTCAATAGTCTGTTGCAAGAGCAGCGCGAACACGAGAAGTTGCCATGGCTAGTGTTGAATTTGTAAGGCGACGATCTCAACACGCGGGCAGCGCGCGGTAAGGTAATGTGCCGCACTCCCTGATAATCTTGTGAGAAGCCGGCAGCATCCATCCCTAATTCACCCACCGTGGCATGGTTGAAACCAGGTCACGGCATACATAAAAGATGACAACATGCAAGAATCACCGGCAGGATCAGGATCGCATGGGTGGAACAACGGGAGAGACGACGCAGCCCTACCTGTAGCACAGTTAATGACCTTTGGTCCTCATTGGAGAATTGTTAGCACCGGTAGTGACACCACCACAGTGGCGCAAGGTCTCTAAGAAGTCATCTCAGTGAAGAGCACTAAACCAAAGAGAAGCTCAAGTGCTGACTGTGCCACGACAGATCTGCACTCAAGTTCCCCTGACATCATTTGGCATTCCCAGCCTTGAGCATAGCCGGTCCGAAACTTGGCTGCCTGATGGGGGGCAAGTTAAGCATTTCGCTAATTCATAAGCGCGACAACTGCCGCCGCGGAATGAAGCTCAACGCCATGTACTCCCAAGACATTCGATCAAGTATCACACCATCATGAGCACGTCAGACGCCAGCAGTGTCAATTCAGAATGCCATCAGCTGCAAGCCGGTCTGTCACCGGCCACCGCAGCTTTACGTGACTTCACTGCGACCCATCCTGAAGCCGAAGCACAGCTCTCCCCCGTGCAAGAACAAGTCCTCTCACTCTCGGACAGCATCGTCGCACTTCGACGCAATGTAGCGAGTTGCGAAGGAGAGGACCAGCTCTTGAGCGAAATCCGATGCGTCCCGGCATTCTGCAATGAGGTCATCAGCCAGATCGTAGGGTCTGTCACTGACACGGGACCTGAGAAGTCCCGATGGTCGCTGTCTCGGCGCGGTGACGATGCGTGGAGGAGTGCAGCCAGCCGCGCCTCGGCCCTCAACTCACATTTGACCACGGGCAGGAGGACAATGGGCCTGGCGGTTGATGCATTAGACCTGTAAGCTTGCCCACTCAGTTGCTTACGAGATGTTGGTGAGATACTGAGACACAGCAGGGTCCGACATCTTCAAAGAGCAGAGGAGGCCGGCGAGTCCCCTCCATATGCTACCAGCGCGATCCTCCAGGAGATCAACTCCATCAAGGAGATCTTGAACCGACAACCCGCATCAGACCAGAGCATATCGCCACAGAAGCTCGCCGGGTTCCTCAACTTCCTCCGGACCTTCATAGACAACCAGTCGACCACGGTTCCGGCATCAGACATGGCGAGACTTTCCGTCACCGCCGACAACGCCGGCTCTTCAACCTACTCCATGTCCGCCGCACCAAGCGTAGACGGAGACGTGAACCCATACCCGACTCTCCTCGCACCAGCTCCCGCCCACGCCACATTCCGTCACGTCGGCAAGATCACCATGAACCTGGAAAAGGAACCTGTCGACATCCGCTTCACCTCCGCAACAGACCCGACCTCCTTCGCCGTCTCCAACTTCTTCAAAGACATCAGTCTCTTCGACGCCGCCTCAGGAGAGCGCAGGCGCACCATCAAAGTGAAAGGCGTGAACATGGTCTTCTCCCCGCTGATGGACCTCGTCGCCGTAACGACGGAGCACCACGATGAATACGTCAACCGGTTCCCTAAGCCGATTCTAACCTCACACGATATGGTCCACTTCGAGAGGCCGGCCCTGTACGTCGTCGAATGGGTCAACGACAACAGTCCCAATGCGCGCAAGTTCATCCTGCAGTGGCATGGCATCCGCGCCTTTTCCTTTAGCCCCGACGGCCAGCTTCTGGCAATCAAGGGAGTACGCAATCGTGTCGAGATCGTCACGGCCGCCAAAGGGCAGGGGTACAGCGTCATCCGCAGCCACACTGATGAAGTCACGCACGCGGAGTGGACGGCGGACTGCACCAGGCTCGTCACCGCGTCCAAGGACGGGACGCTGAGGATCACGAATGTCGAAACTGGCCGGAACATTGCCAAGATCGAGATGGAGGACTGGAGGAACCCGCTCCGGCTTGCTGTGAGCCCGGTGGGAGTGATTGCATCGGTTTGGGGCAGGACGGTGACGATATGGGACCCTGAGAGCGGCGCGATGAACAGCTACAACCTTGAGACGGCAAAGGGGAGCGAGGGCGTCCCGTTGGCGATCTCACCTGACCTGCGGTGGGTTGTGTACCGGTCAGACGATGGTGCTGATGCCACGGATCTGGCGACTGGAAAGGTGGTCTACTCAGCGAGGTTAGAGTCTGGGTTCGCGGTGTCGGCTGCCTTCTCTGGGAATGGGCAGTACATGGTGGTTGGGCGGTGTTTGCATGGGCACCATGCCAGAAATGATTCTGGCATTCTCAACGTGTGGGAAATTCATACTTGACGTGATATTATGAGCAAACGAGATACCTTTAGTCGTACGAAGTTAGGTCATTCATATGAGTAGAACCACTCAGGATTAAAACTGAGCTTGAACGCCATATACAGCTTTGATCTGCAGTATGTCTATCCATTTCCCTCGAGCGTCAGAAGCTTTGCACATGCGATATGAGCTACCTAACAAACTGAGGCTCTGTTCGCAGTCCAATGGAAGAGAACATGAGGCATTGATGGCGCATCGTTGCACTACCAGTCCTTTCCACCAGGATAGTCCTCAGTGACAGCGACATCGCGCTTCCAGGGCTTTCCACCTGGGGAGCCACCAGCGCCGTCAACGACAGCGTCATCGCGCTTCCAGGGCTTTCCACCTGGGGAGCCACCAGCGCCCTCAACGACAGCGTTGTCGGCTACCTATACGTTGACTACGTGTTAGACACAGGCACTATGAACTCAGATGACGGCCAGAGGGGAAACGGACCGGCGCGGCCATGGCCAGTGATACAATAGCGGCAAGGGCGAGCAAGTTGAACTTCATTTTGCCGGCTTCGATGTTGCAAAGCAGAGTGAGATAGTTGTGGTGATTGTTCAAGTTGCCCGGATGGTTGAAGATGATACGAAATTCGGTGACAGAGTAAGCAGGCTTAAGTAGCCTTCTTTTATACTCATTTTCGGCGACGGTTCATCTTCAGCGATGCTAAAACTTGAAATATCTGAAGCCATCGTCAACCTCCACGTAACATCGAGACCGGCGGAGTTCCACCTCGAAGCTCGAACAGCTCACTCAGCACCCTGAATCCTGTGCTTTATAGAAGATTCACCTTCCAGATGCGGATGCCCTTGCCTTACTGAGCATAGTATAAGCTGATTGAGTCGGCTCGACCCGACGCACCTACGGGTCACGTTCATCTCTGAAGTGTGAGCCTCGGCGGCTAGACTCCTTTCACAATGAGACAGGAGCACGCCAATGTGGTGGGAAGGCATCCAATTCGATGAACTCTGCTGCATATGCTTATTCACGCTCGCTAGCTCAGATGAAATCAAGAGTAATCAAGGTAGTAGCGAAGAGCGGGACTACGCCTCGGTCTTCAGAGGCTTCTGTCCCCAGACTGCTCTCTGGCGGTAGTACCCATGCAGCTTACCAGACCGGATCTCGCGACGCAGCTGCGCCGCATAGATGTGGATTTCCTCACGGGACCAAGTCGACATGACGTTGGCCATGAAAAGAACGTAGCCCTCAATGTCCGACAGGAGCGTCAGCTGAGCCCACTCGCCAATCTCCTTCTTCACCTCGTCCTTTGGCCAGTTGCCGATGGGGGCCTATCATTTCCCATGTCAGTCTTTCCTCTGATACCGAAAGCGCAGGTCATCCTTCAAAGGGCTCTCATCTACCTTATTGTTCCACTCCGTGATGCTCTCAAAGCCAGCGTCCTCCATCGACGTCCTCTGCAAGTTCTCGTCGAGGACCCGGAACGTCCGACCCATTTTCCGGCCGCCCTCCTCGAAGAACTTACCCCACTGGCCCAGCGCGCTAGTCTCCGGGACGGTCCCGTCGTCGCTCATAATGGCCGGCGAGACCTCGAAACTCTCCAGGTATCCGCCCGGCTTCAGGGCCCTGTACGCCTGCTTGAACAGCGCGGGCCAGTCCGCGATGCTGCCGACCAGGAAGCGGATGTGAACATAGTCAAAGGACTCTGGTTCGAAGGTCCATTCGCGCGTGCAGTCGTCAATTTCACTGTGTGGGGTCATCAACGGCACCAGCTGCTGGATCTTGACGCTTCGAGTACTCACAACTTCAGGTTAGGAGGAACCCAGCTAGGTTGGATTGGGGAGATGTCCGTTCCAATGACTTCACATTCGGGGTTCTCGTCGGCAAAATCACTATACAGAGTTCAGCCTCTTGCATCACATACTCATGTCGAATTTCTGAGCAGGGACTTACATAGCCCAGATACCTACGATGCCGTTAGCCTGACTTCATGAGCCGAGAATGACATAAGCGCCGCTCACCTGTTCCTGTCCCAATATCCAGCGCTTTGTTTAGCTATTTAGGGTTTCGTTAGTTCAGGCCGATGAGCAAGCCACCGCCGATGAGCCCGTCACCTACCTTGCTTTTGTCTAGCGGTGCCAAGTGAAGCTTGTCGCCCATCGACAAGGTGAGTAAGTGATGGCTAATGACCGTCAGCTTCGACCTCTCACTTCTTTCGTCATTGGCGGTCTCCATCTCACTTGATATCCCAAGCCTCATTCTGTTGCTCATCGTTGCTCCCCCTTTCACAATCCGTTAGCGGCAACGCTCAAAACGCTCAGTTCTCTCAGCCCGCGGGAGGCACTACCAATACTGGGCGTCGCCAACCTCGCCGTGGAACGTCCTCCCGTGAATTTTCCGGTACTGCAAGATCGTAGAGGTGATCGACGCCGTAGAGCTGGCGTTGTCGTCGCCTAGCGCAGAGTCGGCATCGTCGTCGTTAGCAGCGTCCTAGCGGCCTGTCAATCATCAAAATCCCGCGGGCGGCCGCCGTTGAAAGGGGGGGCATGTAGAGAATCTACGCCCCCGCGGTGGAAAAAGGTGTCTAACTGACTCGTGCCGCTTGCACCCAGTGCTCAGCCGGTAGAATTCCAGCCGCTGCGTTCGCCGCAGTCTCCTGCTGCTGCGCCGTGGCCGCGGCCGTCTGGTCCTCGTCTCCCTCGGGACACATTTGTCGGATGGTATCGGGGGGTTTGCACTCGCGATGTGAAGCTGTACACTAGTCGTGTCGTCGCAGGGTTTCCTGTTGCTGTACCCAGATTCCGGGTAACTGTTGCTCGAATCCCGGGAGGAAAGGGAGAGAGTGTGTAATTCTGAGACTGAGAAATCGAATTGCTTAAGCGGCAGCGGGAGAGGGTGGGAACTTGCCCGCCACGAGTCACGACAAAATCCCCGGTCCCTGTTCCCCTTCTTCAACGAGCTCGGAAAACCCCACAGCGGCCGGGCAAAGCGCCTGGTCGTGGACGTGCGCACGCCTTGTCGCCTCCAATTCTTTGGGTGATCAGTCAATTTTCCCTTCACCGCATCAACACCATCCCTATCCCCGGGCGGGGAGGGGGCGGGCGGATTGGATATGGTCTTCTGCTTCGCTTCTCTTCTCCAACCCGTTGGAGTCTTGGAGAGCATCTCCTCATCTGCCGGTTGTCAGCTTCATGTCAGCTCCGCCCGAATTTTGCAGCTTTAAGCTGTGCCATGGCCCATGGTAACGTGTCAAGCGATGTGCCAAGGCCGCTGACCAAAGGTGTAAAATGCTACCATGTTCGGCCCTCATCACCAGAAACGACCGGAAGAGGGGCCGGGGATCGTCAGCGGGTAGGCCAACCAGCTGAGGACTCGCGGCATTTGCCAGTGGATCTCGCATGCAAGAACCTGCAAGGAATAGCACTCATTAATGATCAAGAACCTGGTTCTCCGCGTGCTCAATGGTGACTGCTGTGACCTTGACAGCATGTACATGTGTTGTACGGAGTCGGCCGCTCAAGACCAGGAACGAGGGGTGGCCGACGGGGCCCTAGACTTCTTCAAGAAAGCATCATCTCATTTGCTAGGCACAGATAATAAGGATATCTCTCCGGCTCTAATACGACGCATTCAGTCGCATCTCGATGTACTCGCGGCTGTTTATCGACTCGTACTTCTTCGGCTTACCGGGGCCGTAGCAACCCGGCACGCAGTCTACCGTCTTCTCCTGATCAGCGCCGATAAAGTACGGAATTGAATATCGTGCCCGGGTCACGCGGTCACCGCTCTCGTTCGTCTCGAGCGGCGGCGCTCGTACACGATGCACAGTGGACCGCAGAGTGTCGTTGCTCCACCGCTGCATGAAGTCGCCAATGTTGACCACGATCGTCCCAGGGATGGACGACACGGGCAAGAATCGGCCCTCCTCGTTGGGGTCCTCTACCTCGAGGCCGCCGACCTCGTCCTGGAAGAGGAGCGTCATGGAGCCAAAGTCCGAGTGCGCTCCCAGCCGCTCGACCCTGCCGGCGCGCAAGAGCTTCTCCTCGACCGGCGGGTAGTGGAGGAGGCGGATCTGGTTGTCTTTCATCACATGGTAGTCCCGAAAGAAATCTTCGTCCAGGCCCATGCCGAGAGCCATAGCACGGAGCAGGTGGAGTTCGAGCTGATAGCAGACCTCGTAGAAGTTGTTGAAAAATGACCGAAACCCAGGGAGCGACTCCTCGGGGAGCCAGATGTTGGGCAGGTGATCATCGTCCTCGCGCCCAATCTCGTATGATTCCTTGAAGTCTGGGATTTTCCTCAACTCGCTGATTTCTTTGGCGTCAAATACCATCTGCGACACCTTTTCTCGGCCAATGCCGGAGTACCCGCGATGCCACCATCCCTCGGGTGGATGCGGCGCCTTGTCCTTCTCAGCCTGAGGGAGGGAAAAGAATTTCTCACTCTAATCATGGAATTATCAGCATGGACAGCGATGAAGAGAAAGTCCGTTCTTGTAGACGAACCCACTGGAAGGCGGACTTGATGATTTCCTCGGGGATTCCATGGTTCTTGACATAGGCAAAGCCCGATATTCTAAAAGCGTCCACAAGACTCTTGCCGGCATTCAGTGCTGCTTCAGGGTTGGTGCTGTCTTTCAGGGCACTCAGGTCAACGAGTGGAATGTTAGACCCCCCACCTGTTCGGGCAACAGAGGCTTCCTCGACGACCGACGGTGAATGAGGCATTGTCAATTCAGCTCTGTTTCATGGAGTGACGGAGTGACAATTGCGAGGAATTTGGATAATTTACACACTTGAGCATCGATAAGATATGTTCCCCGCCTTCTGCAGGATGACGGAATGACGTAGATCGGCACACGAGGTTATTCACATGCGAACTGACGCACCGTGCATGCTATGCATCCAGTCAGCAAATTGACCAAACACGCCAGACTAGCTCTTGACTTTGACTTTGAGTTAAACATCTTTCAACGTCTACTCTGTTAGTCATTCATATGATTGGTGTTCTTAATTTCATCATGGAGCTAAGCTCAATGTATTACAAATTCCCCGGCGTCAATGTTTACCCACTGCCATTTGAAACACTAAACGACTATGTTGGCTTCTCTCTTATTCTCAATATGTACAGAAGACTTTTTGAACTCTATAGACATGGCAGGTGGCACTGTTACGGGTCTAATACAAAGGCGCAAGGTTGATGATGGCCAGACGCCTGTGCTGGTTCATCGCCTCATCTAGCACCTACACGCAGGGCGCTCCAAGACCGAGCCCTGCGGTAAGGTTCAAGGAAGCATTGCCAAACACCGAGGTTTCTAACCAGTTTCCAACATAGTTTTCAACCTCGAGAGGCTTCTGCCACCTTGCCCAATGCCCGCCGTCAATCTCACCTCGGCTCAAATTGTCAAAGTACGTTTCCATTCCTTCGGATAGAGACGGAGGCAGCGTGAGATCTTGGGTTGCAGCGATGTACAGCGCAGGTTGCTTGAACTTGCCGCTGTAAGTGGTATTGTCAGGGATAAGCACCCGCTCATCTTCCCAATTCAGCTTGTTGTTACGGTACTCGTTGAGCGTGTGATTAATTGGCTTTCTGGTGTATTCTTCGACATAAAAGTCAATCTGCGCCTTGGTGAGAAGCGGCGTGTCTGTAGTCACAAGGTCGAGCAGATCAAAGTAGAATCCGATGTCTGTGACGTTGCTGGGTTGCTCGCCATTGGGGCCAATCACACCGTAGACGTTGTTCAGGATTTGTCGAATGCGCGTTGTGTTCTGGGCATCAGCCGGCCCGACATAGTCCGCAACGGCATCTGTACGGAATTGCTGCTGGTATTTAAATCCAGGCCACTCGTATGCGAGGTCCACAAATGAGGCCGTGGGAGCTGCGAAAGGCGTGTTGAGCACGTAGAAGGCGGCTACGAGGTCTGGATGCCAGATGGCGGTCCGATAAACCACTGCTCCACCAAAGTCGTGTCCACCGAGGATGATACGAGAGAGACCAAGTTGGCTTGCGAGTGTGGCGATGTCGTCTGCAGCGCGCTTCCAGGTACTATTTAGGTTCAAAATGATTAGTTTCCGCAGGCTCTAACCGATCCAACCTCTGGTTGACTCCTTAACGCGTCGTAACTTACTAAAACTTGACATCCTCGGGTGAATCAGTCCCACCATATCCAATCTTGTCCAAAGCGACGACGCTCAGGCCCTTGGAGAGGAGGAAGGGAATATGGTTGGCCCAGCCCAAGGCCAAATCAGGCCATCCGTGGACGAGGAAAACAGTACCAACAGACTTTCCCGAATCAGGCTCTGCATGGATATATCTGTATTGAATACCGTTGAGATCGGCCGTTTTGAAATGGAGCCTGGAGTCGAGAGTGGCAAGAACGTCCATCTTGTGAGACTATGTTGGTTTATTATGACTGAAGGTTGATCAGGGTGAAGTTGGCATTGGAATCGGTGATGGTGCTTGATTCAAATGTTCTGTTTCGTGAGAGGATGATCAATAATTATAAATTCGGTCTTCCGTGAGAGGAATCGACTCTCCCAATGCAAGACCGTGTAAGCTACTAAGTGAAAGCGCCATGTCATAATGATACGGCACAGTCGCCATCTTAGAGTCCGTATGGCCAGGCCCTGAGCCCGCTTAGTGAGCTACTCGAATTCGTCCGAACTCCCGGGAGCCCCCCGTTAGGACCTGTCATCAGTAAATCCCTGCAAGGTGGTATGAAGATAATAGAAATATTGAAGTCGATTAGAAATACATGCGAGATCGCGAGAAGCATCCCCGGCGACGTGAGCCTATCTAGATCTCCTCACAAGACAACGTACACTCCTGGTAGTTGTAATGTCCCATTATGAGAGAACCAAAATTGTGTTCAATCTTAAGCAAAGTTCCATTCTATTTACTAATTTTCATCGATCTTTTTTTTGGGTCTTTGCAGGTCGTTCACAACTTGAGCGTCTAGTCTTCTCCACCGAGTTCGATCTTAAATCAATTCTGATTAGTATCGACTCGCATCAATCTGGAGTCATCCCGACCGATCTATGAAGACTTACAAGGTTACTAATACATATATGCCGCTGTTGATGCCCTTCTACAAGGTTGTGGGTACGGCGGCTGCAGCTTCGTTCCCGGTATGTGCTCTCTGAGCAGAATCTGATTAGTATAGACACACTATTCAAATTACCCCGGCGGATGTGCGGTAAAATGTCTGGATGGTAAGCTGTTTTCCTCTTTTTCTTTCGGAATCCGAGTCAGTATTAAGATCCACTATTGTCATTGGAACAGCCAACGATTTTCCCGCAAGCATTGAAAGCACGGGGCTTTGATTAGTATTCATTTCCAGATGAACCAAACTGATTTTAGGCCCCTGTATAGTTTGGGTTGGGACCTACTCAATGACCTATAAATTCTCCCGATTTTACTCTGCGTTTTCATGAGATATCTCGCGCCTGATATAAGGAAAGACCTTTTTTGAGATCACACTTCATGATGCGGGGCATCACGGTCAAAATAACGAGAACCGAAGCCTGAAGACAGAGACAACGATGTGCCAGCTGCATTTTTCATTGCTCAAATCATCTATTCACGACAGCCTCATCTAAATTCGGGGGTGATTATGACTTTGGCAATGTGGCATGGTACATTGTGTTGTTGTAGTTGTCTTTACACCTGTCCCACAGACTTTTGTTGTTCTCACCGAAGGGCCAGGATAGGTGATTGTTGATGAGATGTTCAACTGATTCACCTCATTTGCTTTTCAAAGCTCAAACATACATCGCTGATCATTACACGTTAGAGACGTTCCTTCTTCATCAGACAGAAATAACAGACCCCTATTTCCCATACGCTCGTGCCCAGTCCTGTCTCTCCAAATCATCCCTGCTCTCCTCATCGGTCATTTCAAGAGTATACTGTGTGTCGTTATCACACGTTGTCGAACTGCCCCCGAAGTCTCTCAGCTTGACTGCATGTGGCTTTTGTGGAGAGTTGCTGGGCGATGGCTGGGTGCTCGATTCATGTGAGGCATGGGAATGATGCGATTTTTGAATCGCTGTCGTAGACCGTGCTTGCGACTTTCTTCGGTGCGTTCCGGTTTGTATTGTCGATTTGATAGTGGTGAAGAATACTGGCAGCTTCTTGAAAAGAGGTCGTAGTGCCGGGAGACTACCGCAGATGATTGCTAGGTTGAGCTCGACGGATGACCATAGCACGACGTCGACGTTATCCCCTAGAGCGGCTATTAGCATCAATCTCATACGAAGATGACCGGGAGACCTTACAGGTAGAGTCAAATGAATTAGCGAATGAGACCAAGTATTTAAGTCGGATCATACTCGCGACGCAAGCACTGCAATCCTGAGTTAACATTTGTAAAGCCGCTCCAATAGTTGGCACGTCACTTACAAGGATCCAATAGCAAACATGCAAACCAATGCCATTCTCTTCTTCTTTCCCAGTTGAAGCTTAATCAGTTCTGGAATAGGGATGACAATCAAGATAATATCCTCCAGGATACTGCAAGCAGCGCCTCCGTAACTGATAGCCGAAACATTGAGGCAACGACCTTGGATAGATCGATCCCAGATCGACTCAATTGGTAGGCATTGAAATACCATCAACAGCAGAAACATGAAGCCGTGGACGAACAGAAACACCATGAGGATTTTGATTGCCAGGCGGAACTTCTGATTGGTGAACACGCGGGAGTAGAAGCAGGCAATGGAGGCTTTGGCAAAGACTCTAGTGTACAATTAGCGATAGTCCTTTACTACCTCAGATCGTGTCTCGATGCACATACTGAACAAAGATGTAAAGCATCTGCAATACATAGAAAATCTGAAGGGAGTCTCAGTTAGCTGCGAAGATTCGTGATATGCCGTGCGTTGTCGTACCTGCAAAATAGTCTTGCCATTTCCCGGGTCAATATCCCAATAATGAAGTCCGAATCCCATTGCAGCATCTAATGTGCAGCTGAAGTCAGCACTAGACACCCAGTTTCTTGAGCCACGAAGGAAAGTGCATACTTGTGTAGCCAAGGCCGGACATGACTATCAAAAATGCCTGCCACCGTTAGTGAGTCAGTTGCTACGAATGAACCATCACCAGGAACCTTACCAAGGCGATCAGTGCCGTCCAGTCGTCCCACCACAGTCGGTTCGTGACCTGTAATCGGGCCAGGCATCGGAGAGCTACCGTGAGGATCGTGATAACGGGTAGGCCAATGGAGAAAACCTTGGAGAATTTTCTGCGGTCAGGGTAAGGATAGCCCTCACATAACTGTTGTGAGATACGGGCGGTGGCTTCAAAGTAATGTTAGTGAGAATCGAGCCATGACGACGCCTTAGGTACCACCACTCACAAACTTGATCATCGAACTCGCAAGCTTGCTGTATACATGCGGAGGCGCGGGCTTGCAGAGGGATGTTGGTGCACACGCAGTCCGTCAAGCCGTCGAGGGTACAATTGCCAGAATGGAACGCATCGACGAAGCATGGCATCTAGGAAATAAATCAAGTCAGTGAGTGTAACTAAGTGCTGACTCAAAATCATGAGATGGCTGTGAAACACCACGACTGAGACTGTGAGAGTGACTTACCGCACATTTTGGCGTCGTCGCGAGTAGCTTTGTGATCTCAGTCGTGTTCAATTGAGGCACCGTTGCCTGTGCCGTCGCAGCAAACAGCAGGACGACTGCGACCCGCATGATTTGCTTCATTCTCAAAAACGATGCGACGGCATGCGATGTGTGGTTGATGCCGATCGTTGCATGGGCGTACAGATGTCACAACGGCGAAAGAAACCCCCATCAACAAGGCCGGGCCCATGCGGGATCAGGGAGACATCCTGTATATGAACTGGGCATTACATGTCGGCGACCGGAGTTTCGTTCATGAGACCAAGTCCATAGGGCAAGATCGCCACTCAGCCGCCACTACGAAACAATGGCTTGCGATGGACGAAAGCGGCACACTTTGGGATGGCCTCGACGTCGCGGAGACGGGGAAGCGCTCCCAGCTCTCGTCGCTAACGTCTGGGCGACTAGACTTGCGGATTATGCATCCAGCCCAATTGCTTTGGCGAGAGCGCCACGGGGCTTACTGCTCACATCACCATGTGCGGCTACCCGGCTTCTTTCAAAGCGACGTATAATAGGTGGATGACAGCGCTTGCTTGATGTCTCTCGCTTATGGGATGACGAGCAGCAACGGTGACAGGCTGCTTGCGTGCGTCCGCTGTGCTCAAGTTATAGTACGCATTACTCTGAGTTTCTTCTTCCAAGCGCTATCACATCAACAAATGTGACGAATGAAGATTTTCGGTGGTAAAGATGAAGTTGGCTGAATAACTCAATGCGAGCCGCATCATCAACAGCCCGTTTCTTGGGATCTTGATGGCTTTCCCGCCGGTGGTATCCTTCACTGCATTGGGGCCGTTACAGTCGTGAGATGCTCACACGCTGTACTGTAATAGGCTTGGGGCGGACACCGGGTTTCTTTGGCAATAAAGGTGGTGCTAACCAAGATCAGACTTTAGTGAGCCAGGTTTCTACGGGGAGTCGGGGGACAGGGCAGAATGAAAGGCCGGGCTCGCATATTGCATGCCCAACCGCAACTCAGCTGGGCGGACGGCTGAGCAGAACGAACAAAAGATTTGCTCAGGGGTGGCCTGATTCATGTCTTTACGGATTCAATGGGACCATGAACCTCCTCGCTTGTTTATGTTTGAATAATGCGAGGCGCAGGTTTGCGAGACTCGACCGGTTCATCCAACATGTCATCGATCGTACCTTGAGGATGGACACATGGGAGATGCATGAACTAAAGAAATAAGGCTAATTGGGAGCTTTGACAACACCCCGCGGAGCGCGTATAAGGTCATCCCCGGACGAACTAGTCCAGTCATGAAGATATCTGGCCATGTTTTACGTTTTTCCCATTCAGAATTTGGACCGATGTCTCCCTCCAAGGCTGAGCTATCCCCCGCATAACCAGGACCGTCCGTCTGCCCTCGTGCTCGGCGCTCCGAAGTGCATCGGATAGCTTTCCCGATTCAAGACATCCTACAGCGCAATCTCATTTAAAGCAGCCCCCGCAACAGTCATGCCAAGTTCGCGCCCGCCGTGACTGCGACGCTGGCCCCTGGCATCCTCCTCACCTTAATCGGCCTCCCGCTCGTGTTCCCACATGACCAGCATCATTCTCAGATTCTCCCCCGTGCTCGTACCAGGGGGGCAACCTCCACGTCCTTCCCTAATCGTTCCTTCGGCCGACGATGGTAGGCTGAATGAACCACGAGAAGGGCGATTCTGGGACCTTGAGTGGGAAGGTTGCCATACATAGCATCACCTACATTGATCACCGTCACATAGGAAAGAAGCAGGTCACATCCGAGATGGGGAGGGTACATGACGGGCAGCGACATGTCTAATCAAATGCAAGGGGCGTTGCGACTTTTCCCATGTCGCGATCAGGCGCATCGCGTCGAGGAGGACAAGTGAGGTTTCTTGGACCAAGTTCTTAAGGGGAATGTGCGCCGCTCCTGGAGAAAGACTGACTTTCTGACGACGGGCGTTCCTTTTTGAGTTGCTTGGTGCTGCGACCTCTGCAAGAACCAGTTCGAAAGCCTCCAATCTCATCCAAGATGCGTTGGTGTCTCCATGTCACAAACGTGTTGCTCGGCTACATCGTGGCCACGGCCTCTGCTGTGTGAGTTTGACCTACCCCAAACCTTAAGACGCGAGGTACGCAAAGTATGAATGTGGTTGGCTGACGCGGATACAACATTGATAGCCCGAGCCAGCACTTTGTCCCACGGCAATCTACCGACATCCTCGCGTCTTATGACTACGTCGTTGTCGGTTCCGGGCCGGGTGGTGGCCCACTTGCCGCCCGGCTCGCCATCGCCGGGAAGAAGGTCCTTCTCATCGACGCCGGCGACGACCAGGGAGACTCGATCCCGTACCAGGTCCCTGCGTTGAACCTTCAGTCGACAGAGTACGCCCCAATGAAATGGGACTACTACGTTCAACACTTTGCCGATCTCGAGGCCCAGAAGAAGGACTCCAAGATGACATACCGACTTGCGAACGGGGAGCTCTACGTCGGACTCAACCCACCGGCTGGCGCTGAGCCACTCGGCATCCTTTATCCTAGAGCTGGTACGCTGGGTGGCTGCGGCAGTCACAACGCGTTGATCACGGTCTACCCGCACAAGTCAGACTGGGATGGCATCGCGACCTTGACCGGAGACACCACCTGGGGCGCGTCCAACATGCGCAAGTACTTCCAGCGCCTAGAGAACGCTGAATACTTGCCCAATGGTATTGTAGGACACGGGTTCGACGGCTGGCTTACCACCTCCGTGACGGACCTCGGACTTGTCATCAAGGATGTCAAGCTCCTTACGGTTATTCTGTCCGCTGCTTCCGCCATGGGCAAGAGTCTCCTGGGATTGATCTTCTCGACGATCCAGGGTCTCGGCGAGGTTCTCCTTCGTGATCTCAACGTCGACCTGCCCAGCCGTGACTCTGCCGAGGGCCTCTACCAGGTCCCTATCTCTGTCAACAAGGGCGTCCGCAATGGACCGCGCGAATTCGTCCTGGACACGGCCAACGCGAAGAACGCGGATGGTTCTAGGAAGTATCACCTCGACATTAAGCTCACCACCCTCGTGACCAAGGTGCGCTTCGACCAGAGCGGCGCGAAGCCCCGGGCCGTGGGGGTAGACTTTGTTACGGGACAGAGCCTTTACCGCGCCGACCCCCGATCCGGCGCTGCTGGCTCTGGCGTCGCCGGATCCGTAAACGCCACGGCCGAAGTCATCATATCAGCCGGCGCCTTCAATACCCCGCAGCTGCTCAAGCTCAGTGGCGTTGGCCCCAAAGAGGAGCTATCCTCTTTCGGTATCCCTTCTATCGTCGATCTTCCTGGTGTTGGCACCAACTTGCAAGACCGTGAGTTTTCTCATTTGCTGCTGACGAATTGATCATTCAATGTAGAGCCGTTTGACTGATCATCACCACAACAGGTTACGAGACGTCCGTTATTGGCGAAACGCCGACAAACTTTCAGATCATCGAAGGCTGCACCTTCATTCGCCCTGGCACCGACGATCCCTGCTTGAAAAAGTGGCAGGACGGCGCCGCGAGTGGTGATAGGGGGATTTATGGTTCCAACGGCATCAGCCTGGGTATCGTGAAGAAGTCGACCGTGGCAGAGGGAGACCCGGACCTCTTTATCGCGGGAGCACCAGTCGCCTTCCCTGGGTACTATCCCGGATACTCCGTCGATGGCACCGCGGATCAGAGACATTGGACGTGGATCACCCTCAAAGCCCACAGCCGCAACCGGGCCGGAACCGTCAAGCTGCGTTCAGCCGATCCGCGGGATATGCCGCAGATTGACTTCAACTCATTCCAGGACGAGGCAACGGGCGCTAAGGACATCCAGGCCGTGGTGGAGGGCATGAAGCTCTCGCGCAAGATGTTCGAGAGCGTCGTGCCCCTCACGGGAGGCTTCACCGAGGTCTGGCCCGGGAAGAACGTCACCGATGCGGACTTGCCCGAGTTCGTCAGGAATGAAGCCTGGGGCCACCATGCCAGCTGCACGTGCCCCATTGGCAAAGACGGCGATGCCACTGCTGTCTTGGACTCAAAGTTCAAGGTGAGAGGGACTGAAGGTCTGCGGGTGGTGGACGCGAGCGTGTTCCCCAAGATTCCTGGGTATTACATCGCGTCGGCGGTGTACATGATTAGCGAGAAGGCGGCGGATGTAATTCTTGGAGTATAGATACCTTTATGCTCTATTTTCTTCTTCTTTTACTGTATTGTTACACATGGCGGGCAGGAAAAGCGCGCCGTAGGATTTTGAGGTGTGACCACGAAGGGTCTCTTGGGCGTTTCCGTACATACTTGGTACCTACCACATACTTGACGACGTTAGAACAAATCATGAATCTACCACACCATTGCCTCGGATTGAGTGCGATCTGCTGGCCCTGCGACGTTGGTAAAGGCAACGCTGGCTGAATACATGTAGCCATGGCTGGGTTGGGCAGGGGACCGAAGGGTTTGCAAGGATGGGATGAGGCGGCGAACGAAAGCAAGCCGCAATATCTGTACTCTGTCACTCTCCCTGTACAGTCCATTTCAATTCAGATGATAGACCCTTGGGAAAGAGTCAATGCGAAAAGGTTGCTGCCGTGGGACTGAGACCGCGAGGCATCTCCCGAAGGCGCCTGTCTCAGTCCTTATATCACACGAGCTGATCAGTGGATCCTTGGAAATCCAGCACTGTTCTTAGGCTCGGCACAAGAACGGGTGTAGAACATGGAGCAGCCTGAGCAACAAAGATTTCATTATTCTTCTTTTTCGTGGAGAGGGATGAGGAGAAGAACGTGGAGCGTTGCCGGGAGATGATACTCCGCAGTGAATTTAGCAGTTGACCATCCTCTAAGACGATCATGATTCTTCAATGCGCATCTCCCGAGCAATAACCTACTGGAGTACGGGGATAAGCCATGGAGAGGCGTAAAGCCGTACTTGGTAGTGCTACGCCATGAGAGGCGGCCTGTGTGTGGCACAAGGTCAAGGAAATCTTTCAGATGGCAGAGGCAAGAAAAAGGGGCAGGGACCATTCCACGTGGCAATTCGATAGAAGAGGACAGCCCAGCCCAGGATTAGTAACGGCAGCGAGATTGCAAATGTTCAGCCGTCTGTGTAGTCTGCTAGAAAATCCCCCCGAGCGCAGACATAAGTTATTGCATGCGTTGGTGTGCGTTGGTGCGCTTGCGGGTAACCGTGCCGGCATGGTTTGGGGTGGGAACATGTCGGCAGTGGTGATTAGGACAAACGCCAGAGAGAAAAAAGCACTGCAAGTTGGCAAGTTAACTACGGATATTCCACCTTACTTTACACTGTACAGGCAGTAGGGAGTAAAAGGAGGGAGTAGCGTCAGCAAACAAACAGAGGCAAAGCTGCGTTGGGATAAGCCCGGACGCTTGCGAGCGACACCACACCCTCATTCTCTAGATTCCTCGAGTCTGTGAGTCCACGGATACGTATTGCTTGCGCCGCGTGGATGGAAGCAGCCATCAGCAAACCGAGGTAGATGTTGGTTTGTGGACGCGTAGACCCGGCCCGGCCGAAGTCTAATACCGCCGCTATTTGACCTGGCAAAGTGACAGTTGGCCTAGTCAGCCAGTCGGAGCGATAGGCTCAGAGGCTCAGAGTAGACCGGACGGGCGGGGACCACGGGGGGCGAGCCTTGAGGAGATTTCGACGTGATTTTGGCTTCTTTTGGCGTTGGCGTCGAAAATCCGTTGGTGTGGTACCCTCCGACCAGCAACCGACTCGCCGATAGAGACTCAAGGAGGCGTTCGGGGAATCCTCCTAGGACGCAAACGAGGCTTTTGTGTGGCTTTTGCGCCCGCTTCGCTTTGCCTTTGAGCTTGCCTCTTCTTGACATCTTTGGGGGTGACTTTGCATCATAGGCGCAAACTTCGGGTGCCATTCACCCCTCCTCCTTTTGACCTCATTCCTCGAAAGCTGGGCCGAGTCCCCCAAGTCCCCTGCCCCTCCAGCCCTCTCCAGCTCTCCAATCTTGTGGAAATGCAAATGCAAATGCAATTTAGACGTAGCTAGCTGTTTGGCTGCTCGTAGGGTCCCGGCACACGATTCGAGAGAGCTCCGGTCCATGCATCCTCCACCACCACCACTCATGCACTCATCAGCTCCTCCTTTACGAACCCGAATTTCTCAGCTCATTATTAGTCTGCAAGACGTAAGTATCCGTACGGCGTCCGTACCGTGTTTTTTCTAGATGAACCTTGGGCTTAGCATCTGCCCTAGCCAACAAGTCCGAAATGAGGACACGACGCGGACCTGGCCTGGCCAAGGTGTGTGGTGGAGAATAGTCTTACAGCTTACCCATTCTCTGGCGAACAGTGGCACAGCAGAATGAAAAGTCTTGACGACACGAGTGTCTGTGCAAGGAACAACGATGTCTTGGGGCTCATGTCTTGGAAGTTAGGCGGCCGGCATCATCCCCCCATCCTCTCTCCCTCCCGCCCGCGGCGTTTGCGCCCTTCTTGATAGTAAACACATAGTAAACTACCACCACACACCATCACGACGACAACCACCAAGATCCAAGGTCCAACAACACCACCTCCTCCGACGTAGTGTCTTGGAAGAGACAGGGACTCCCGCCCAGCCAGTGTGGACCACAGATTCTCATCGCGGCGATCAAGACGCACGGTTAACTTTCCCCTCGCAGTTCGCAAGCCCGTCCCGTGCCCATTGGAACGGGGCACATCAGCTTATTCCCCGCGGCCCAGGGTCGCAGACGCGCGATGGTTCGCTGCTAGTTTTTTCCTTCCTGGGCTCTCTTGCGATTGTTGGCCCTTCTGCTCTTGCTTGTTGCTTGCCTGCCTGTTCGCTTGCTATTATACATACTAATTATTACCCCTGACCACAAACCCTGGCAACGAACCCAGGGACGCAGCTTCAGCTAATCCAGCTAAAGACAAAGCACGCAGGGTTTGATGGACAACGGCGTATCATCGCACTGGTTCGTGAGGGCGCTACACATGGGTGACACGGTGATTTGATGGCCCTTCTCTGCCCTCTCTGGGCCTCTGGATCCCCTTGCTCAGGCCATCACGAACATGCGGTCCCGCAATTCGCTGATCAATCCAAACGACACTGGACTGAAGCTGGCCTAGGCCGTCGCAAACTGATCTGATTCTGATAGCAGACGCGTAGAACCTGTCATGTACCGAGGACGAACAGACCTCCTTTCGACGTCTTCGAGACGTCGACTCCGTAAACACTCACGGCTCCGCACCGCTTCGCAGCTTTTGACAGCGTACTTGAGTCAAGCAACACCCACCAGTGCCACGCCCCCCGGCAAGACGTCACATTGGGAGCGACAAGCGCAGATGGTCAAGATATCCGTATCTGAAATGCGCACTTGCCGAATGCAAGATTTACTGCCGATTTCTCCAAAGATTTGCAAAGGACATGACGTCCCCCTCAGGGCTCAGGCATGTCCCCTACACTGCCGAATCCAATGGGCTATCTGCGCCCCCTTCTCCAATCCCATCAGCAGTGCAGCACAAACAAAGGACAATGGCAAGATGGAGGCTTGATCGGCAACGACCGAACCGCTCGTGGAGCCTGGGTCGTCGCTTGCTTTCCCCAGAAAGCTATGTAAAATGGATCGGTCACAACTCACAAAGCAACCCTTCCAAGGCTTCCCGCTCGAGGCGACAGATTCGAGAAGAAGAAGAAGAAGAAGAAAAACTCTGCTAGATCTGTTTGCCGGGTGGGGGGGAGGAGAGGGGAGGAGGAGGAGGGGGCCAAGCCCAAGGCCAAGACGAAGGGCCCGGAGGGGTGGGAAACACAGAGACACAGAAACACTGTGTGCGAGGCATCGGAATGTCAGCCAGGACTCCTCCTCACGTGGCGAGACCGTTCTCAGCTCCCCACGCCACCAGCGCTAAGATGAACATGGATTGGAAGCGGGCACTGTATTGCAGAGAGCAATATGGGAGTTGGAGTGAGTTGAAGTGGGAGCGAGGGTGTGTGTAAGCCTCACTATCTTCCCTCCCGAGTCCCCGGCCCGGCAACAACACTGATGCTGTCATACTTGCTTTTTCCTTCTTTTCTCCTCTAGTCATCGTCCCGTCTTTTCGTCCGGTCCCAAGACTCATGAGCAGAAAAAAAAAAAGCCCTTTCCTTTTCTCCTGAAGAGTTCGGGCCAGGGGGTCTAACGCTGGGACCCAATGCCAGCTAGTGGTGGCATATGTCAGTCTCTTGTCTTGAATGGCCTGGCCGCACTGGCTTTCCTGTCTGATTTCCGGCCCTTTGTGTCAAAGCGGACGGCCTAGCGCAGGTCGTCTCTGGGGTTAACTGCTCTAGCGTTGAATTGGTGCTTGGAACATCCCTTGTACCTGGCACTACGGCTTCCTGATCCTCCAATGTAGACGCCGTGTTTGTCTCTCTTGGGTACAATCACGATTCATGGCTCCGAGCCGGGACAATGCCTGCTTCTCCCAATGAGCCCCATTTGGCGTGGTTGGTGGCTTGCCGCTTGATTCTTGTCTCTATCGATGGCCACAGACTAGGCCTCGACCTGTCCGAGAGCTCTTCGGAGGAGGAGAAGGAACCTTGGCTGGGACAAGCAATCACCTTGAGTGAGGTTCAGCTTTGCCCACCGCGGCGGAACTTACAGATAAACAGCTGAGCTCCCACGTTGCTCCATGAGCGGTGGAGAGAGAGCTCTGTTTCTTCATCTTCATTCCGCCTTTATCAGTAGCATTGATCTGACCATATAGTGTCGTGTGCGGATCAACATACAAGGCTACCCTCGATAACAACCCCAGAGCCACTGCCTCCAACATCACCGTCTGAGATAACAACCCCTCATGTCTTTACAGCCCTACGTGGCACCAAGACGAGGCACTATGACCGCTGCCATGTATGGCAAGCCAAAGGCCAAGGAGTCCGTCCTGGACCTCTGCACGAGGGCCACGCTCCTCGGAAACAACATCTCGGTGCGCATGCTCGAGTTCCTCACCAACGTCAAGCACCAACCGCACGGCTTCAGGGAGCTCGCCAATGACTTCCTCGACATCTGCCGGATACTATGGTCCATCGAGGCCGGCCTTTCCGAGGCTGCTCGCACCCACCAGGAGTTCCCCGCCGACATGATCAAGGAGCTCGACATGAAGTTCCGTTCGACCAACTCCGACTTCCAGGTCCTCGACCACATGATGTTCGAGTTCC